AGTGCAGTAGGTGTATAAAGATGGTTTATTAAAAGTGGTTAAAAACAAGATAACTAAAAAACTTCAGACTGATCAGATAGTAGGTCCTTAACTCGCTCCTTTAGTGGGGTCCACCACTGTCATCTAGGCTGGAAGAATGGAGCCGGGACATCCTGTGTACATCAGGAAGTGCACCGGAACCAGAGTGGATCGAACGGGTGGAAGTGACGTCACTAAAAGAGGGTCGGGACCAGTGTCAGGCTATCAGGCTACAGTCAGGTCCATAAATATTGGGACATCGACACAATTCTAACATTTTTGGCTCTATACACCACCACAATGGATTTGAAATGAAACAAAGATGTGTTTTAACTGCAGACTGTCAGCTTTAATTTGAGGGTATTTACATCCAAATAAGGTGAATGGTGTAGAAATTACAACAGTTTGCATATGTGCCTCCCACTTGTTAAGGGACCAAAAGTAATGGGATAATTGGCTTCTCAGCTGTTCCATGGCCAGGTGTGTGTTATTTCCTCATTATCCCAATTACAATGAGCAGATGAAAGGTCCAGAGTTCATTTCAAGTGTGCTATTTGCATTTGGAATCTGTTGCTGTCAACTCTCAAGATGATATCCAAAGAGCTGTCACGATCAGTGAAGCAAGCCATCATTAGGCTGAAAAAACAAAACAAACCCATCAGAGAGATAGCAAAAACATTAGGCGTGGCCAAAACAACGGTTTGGAACATTCTTAAAAAGAAGGAACGCACTGGTGAGCTCAGCAACACCAAAAGACCCGGAAGACCACGGAAAACAACTGTGGTGGATGAGCGAAGAATTCTTTTCCTGGTGAAGAAAACACCCTTCACAACAGTTGACCAGATCAAGAGCACTCTCCAGGAGGTAGGTGTATGTGTGTCAAAGTCAACAATCAAGAGAAGACTTCACCAGAGTGAATACAAAGGGTTCACCACAAGATGGAAACCATTGGTGAGCCTCAAAAACAGGAAGGCCAGATTAGAGTTTGCCAAACAACATCCAAAAAAGCCTTCACAAGTTCTGGAACAACATCCTATGGACAGATGAGACCGAGATCAACTTGTACCAGAGTGATGGTAAGAGAAGAGTATGGAGAAGGAAAGGAACTGCTCATGATCCTAAGCATACCACCTCATCAGTGAAGCATGGTGGTGGTAGTGTCATGGCGTGGGCATGTATGGCTGCCAATGGAACTGGTTCTCTTGTATTTATTGATGATGTGACTGCTGACAAAAGCAGCAGGATGAATTCTGAAGTGTTTCGGGCAATATTATCTGCTCATATTCAGCCAAATGCTTCAGAACTCATTGGACGCCGCTTCACAGTGCAGCTGGACAATGACCCAAAGCATACTGCAAAAGCAACCAAAGAGTTTAAGGGAAAGAAGTGGAAAGTTATGCAATGGCCAAGTCAATCACCTGACCTGAATCCGATTGAGCATGCATTTCACTTGCTGAAGACAAAACTGAATGGAAAATGCCCCGAGAACAAGCAGGAACTGAAGACAGTTGCAGTAGAGGCCTGGCAGAGCATCACCAGGGATGAAACCCAGCGTCTGGTGATGTCTATACGTTCCAGACTTCAGGCTGTAATTGACTGCAAAGGATTTGCAACCAAGTATTAAAAAGTGAAAGTTTGATTTATGATTTTTTATTCTGTCCCATTACTTTTGGTCCCTTAACAAGTGGGAGGCACATGAGCAAACTGTTGTAATTCCTACACCGTTCACCTGATTTGGATGTAAATACCCTCAAATTAAAGCTGACAGTCTGCAGTTAAAGCACATCTTGTTCATTTAATTTCAAATCCATTGTGGTGGTGTATAGAGCCAAATGTTAGAATTGTGTCGCTGTCCCAATATTTATGGACCTGACTGTACGTGCTCAGAGCTGCTTGCTCCTTCTACAGGCCTCTAGAACCACAACCTATCCGCATGACATGTGAAAAGACATTGCTTCCTATGCTGCCTGTTCACATGTGTCCAGTGCACTGGCAGTGTGATCTCACTGCGGTTTGAAAAAGAGTCTTGCATGATTTCTGAGCAGCGTGGTCCAGTTCAGGTACGAATTACAGGCTACTGACTTTTATGAGAACAGTTTCTAAACTGCATATGTGTGAACCGGATCATCCTGAGAGCTAATCCTGTCCTGAATCTGATGTAAACCTGATATGAACCAGTGAACAACTACTGTATCAATTAGCTATGAAACCTGAGCTTCAATCCGCACATGTGTAAATCATCTCTCAGTGGGCACTGCCTCAGTACTTTCCCTACCTTTGAAGAATCACTTTGTGAGTGGGCCAGTTGAGCCAAGAAACCAGAAGTACATAAGGCCCTGGGTACCTCTAACCATCCATTGGCATTGATGCTTGAGTGCCGACAGGGCAAAAAGTAGAGCACTATGCTCACTTTTTACTGCCATACAGTGCCAAGGTAATATCTCCCTGCTGTGGCTCCTACTTTACAAAGAGCCAAGAGGAACTTTGATTTTCGATCCATTTCTGCTGTCCCCCTACAGTGACTCTGGCATTATGTCTGATTCTAGACATGGGGGAATAGTCCAGCTATAGCAGGTGCCCCCAGCTTACACTCTACCAACTGCTCCTGTACTGCATGCAATACAAGCAGATTCACACTTGTGCAGTGCAGATTGGAGCTCAGGTTTAACAGCTAATTGACCAGTAGCTGTTCACCGGTTCAGGTCAGGTTTACATCAGGTTAAGGAAAGGATCAGCTCAGAACTTCATCCTATTCACATCAGGTCTAGAAACGGTTCCCATAGAAGTCAAAAGCAGTGCTCAGGAACTGTACATGACTGTTTTTTAAACTGCACTGAATCTGCACCAGACAAATGTGAACAGGCACCATAGGAAGCAATGTTATTTCACATGTCATGCGGATTGGATGCTGTTCAAAAATGCATCCAATCCGCATATATGTGAACGGCACTGAAGCTCAGGTTTCACAGCTAATCGACACAGTATTTGTTCAGCGGTTCATGTCAGGTTTACATCAGGTTCAGGACAGGATTGGGTTAGGACCTCATCATGTTCACACATAGGCGTTTTAGAAACTTTTCCCATAGAAGTCAATAGCCTGTAATCCGCATCTGAACTGGACTGCACTGCTCAGAAATTGTACAGGGCTCTTTAAAACCGTACTGCCAGAGCACTGAACAGGCACCATAGGAAGCAATGTTATTTAACATGTCATGCGGATTGGATATGGTTCAAACCGCATCCAATCCACATATATGTGAACCGGCACTACATCCATCCCCATCTTTGGAGTCTTCCCTAGTTCAGTCGGGTGTAGTCAGCACCTCTGCCCCAAGACTGTAGGTTTTTACTTAAATCATGCAAGTCTTCATGGCCCAAAGTACCCAGTTGTTTGCCGACTCTGTTGCAGGAGGACAAAGGCACATCTCTGTGCCTTCCCTGCAGATTCTGTATCTGATCCGTTTGTGGCCTTGGTGGCCTCTGAGTCATCAGCTGCAGAGACTGATTCCAAGTTAATCCAGTCCTCATAATAGAAGCTCGTCTCCAAGTAGTCCCAGTCTTCTGACATTTCAGGTCACACTGATGCAGTGTACCACTCAAACGGTTTCTTCTAGAAGTGCTATTTCCAGTCTTATGTCCTTTAGAGGTCCAAGACCACTAAAATATTATCCCAATGCACCTGTTGTGTTGGGTGCTAGAAATACTCTAAGATCCACAACAGAAAAAGCTCTGTGCTCGCTGGCAGACCCTGCTCTTCATCCTATCTGGGCTGTGACCTTGCTTTGCCAAACTGACTAGTCAAAGTCCCTAAGAGTCATCATACATTATAATCTGATTGTATATCCCTGCTCCATAAACTTTAAATTTACCATAACTATATAATATGGGTGCCTTCCTAGTACATTTTTATCCAGTCAGGCAGGCCTTGCATTACATAGTTGTTGGTAGATCTAAAAGAGATTGTACAATCTGTGCATTGTGTGTGGTGAACTTTAAACAGCATCTTACCATGGCCGCAGTTGATCCTTGGGTCACAGACGATTTGGTGTAAATAGTTGTTGCTTTAGCAGATGGGATGCTGTAAATTTCCTTTATTATCTGCATGGGTCTCCTGTCTGTATGCATAGGGAGGACACTTCAACCAAAGTTTTGTACTGCGGAAACCAGCTTCTAATCTGCATGGCTTTCATTGACAATGTCTTCAGATCTACTCTGAATACATTATTGCTACTGGTGACAAAAGTACTCATCTCCCTCAGAGGGAGAAGCCTTAAGGAACAGCCTGAAAAGTCTTCTGTGCTCCTCAATAAGCTCCAAGAAAAGGTAAGTAGAAAAACCTTTTATTTACAGCTGTCACAGATAAAATGAATGGATATGGCTTAGTAAATAGAGCCTATATGTTTGATTCTGATGAAAAACATGACATCAGAAACACAAAATTACATCAAACCCTTTATGCTTTAAGGAGAGACTTTGGAACTGGAACAAAAACAGATTAATGTGGCTCATGAAGAGACTGGTTAAAAGGGGACCTTACATTAAATATGTAAACACATAACAAAACGTTTCAGATTTAAATACTTCAGCACAGAAAAACAATCTCCTAATTCCACAGCCTCCGAAGATGCATTTAGCTTCAGACACACAGGCTTCAAGGCAAGAAAAGATGAAGATCACTGACACTATACATCACAATATTATATTTTAACAATGCCAAGATAGAAGACAGTGGCCAGAGCATGGATAGTTACACCTGAAACAAACAAAGGTAATGTGTTTCTATGCAAGATCCCCTTTAATATACAAGAGACAATTTTGTAAGAGAACATGGGTGACCCCTAACTTTATACACAAAAAGTTCCAAAAGACACCAATACAACTGTAAATTAAAATGATAATAAAGTTATTGTTCCACCATATAAACGACAATTTTTAACTTACACAGTTGAAAGCTAGTAAAAGGTTTTACATTTTAAAAATACCTGATTATTAGATATTGAGAGTCGAAGAGGGGACATCTTCCTCTGTTTATCTGGTGATTTCAGTTTGTTTACAGCTCCATCTGTGTCCACTAGAACATTCTGATTTTGAGACTCTTTCTCTTTGGAACTGTCCTTTTCTTTCCTTCCTTTTTTCCTTCTAGTATCATAACCACTGTTGAAGTTTTCTGTTGGTTCAGTACTACACCGGAGTACCGGGCAATCAAGATTATCTTTGAAGCACGCACAGTCCACCTTATATTTGCTGCAAAGACAGAAACAAACATCCAAAATTAGAATAAGGTTTTATATAAAATGCCTAAATTTTATCTTCCACATTTTTTTTTTTAAATGGAGACAAAATACCCCCCCCCCAACCTAATTCACTTTAATTAACCGCCCTATAGCAGATATACTACCCTACCCGCGCCGCCATTCGCGGCCGTCAATCACCGGGTCCCGGCCAATGATTACTTGCCCGTGCACGGTGATTGCTGAGCATCTCCGACGGGGAGGAGAACTGTTTGTAAACAAAACAGTTCTCCCTGTCAGCTCAAGCACACTAATTTGGATGGCTGTGCATAGTGAAGCACAAGGACACAGCCCAATGTAAAACAGCACACAGCTAACACTTAGATCGCCCCTCATGTTAACCCCTTCCTGCCCAGCGCCATTAGTACAGTGTCAGTGCTTTTTTTTTTTAGCACTGATCACTGTATTGGATTCACTGGGAATGTCAGTGACACAAAGTTAGTTCCCCCCCAGTGTCAGAATGCCCACCGCAGTCCCGCTATAAATCGCTAATCGCCGCCATTACTAGTAAAAATAAATAAAAAATTCCAGTATATATACACCATTTGTAAAAGCTATAACTTTCACGTAAACCATTTACACATATTGGAATTTTTTTTTTTTCAGCAGACATGTAACAGAATACATTTTGGCCTAAATTTATAAAGAAATTTGATTTTTTTTTTTTTTACTGGACAGGTTTAATAGCAAAAAGGTCAAAAATATATAGCGCAAAAAAAAAAAAACCCCAAAAAACGTACAGGCGATCAAATACCACCGAAAAAAAAGTTCAATTCGTAGGGAAAAGGTAAAAAGGATGTAGCGCCATAACACAAAAAATGGCCTGGTCAGGAAGGGGGGTAAATCCTCAGGAGGGCAAGTGGTTAAATAACATAAAAAAGGAGGATAACCTTGGATAAACCTGATAAAAGTACCATTGATTTTTAGCTCCTGTTAAAATGGTTTCAAGACCAGTGGATGAAGAAATTTGGAGCCTTAGTTTTGGACTTGGAACACAAAAATTAATTTTGAAATTTCTTGAGAAAACATAGCACCAAAATAGTCATACATTAAATAAGTTCCCGAACAAAGATTTAACTTTGCTTACCAATTGGTATAGTCAAAATCAAACGCAATTGTGACTTCTGCACCCTTTGGAATGTTTCATTCAAATTGAATAAATATAAAGATGAATTGTTCCATCTTCAATAATATGCCGTACCTGGAATACAAAGGTGTAGAGAAATGCTGTCTTAGATAATGAGATAAAATGCATGTATCCAAAATTTCCTAAAGTGCCCTTAAACCCAAAATGTTTTATATTTAAAATGGTGCCCTTTATATTGTGCCTCGTTCTGCATCTTATATATTTAGATAAATACTTGCTTGAATATGCCATTACTAATCCCTTCCCTCTTCTCAGTGTGAACCAAGCAGAAGTCGATTCTGTGGCCGCTGCATTGGCACACACTGAGCGTGCTACACAATGTCTTTTCAGTGTGGTCACTGTCCTCTGTTTTAACTGCCTGACATGACATTTTATATTAGCAAAAGGTGAGGGGGGGGGGGGGGGGGGTTCGCTCTGAAAACTGCAAAACATCATTAGCAGTAGTCACGATTAACAGTGGATTTCTCTCCCTGGTTTACCAGTCTCAAGTTTTAACACAAACAGAGCTGCTGGCAAAAGCATTCTGTGAACCGTCCCTAAAGCCTATGCTTTGTGTGAAATATGAGACTGATAAAACAGGGAGAGAAATCCCTTACCTATCATGATTCCCTGTATGAGCAGGCTGGCTCCTGTTCTGTTGAAGTGCTCTGAAGTGACATTGCAGTTTGCATCCGAGGTCTCCAGCTAGAACTGCACACAGATCATACACTGGTGTGGAGACTGAAACAAAATCACGTGACTAAAGCTACAAGGCTTCAAAAAAGGTATTCAAAATGTTTTTTTTTTTTTTTAAACGGAGAGACATCCATCTATAATACTACATAACTATGATGTAAACTGAGAATCTTGGCAGTGGGTTTAACATCACCAACTCCAATCCAAAAACATAATGTTTTTTCTAAATTATGGCTTTGAAGCAAATGCAGTATCAATGGAATAGCAATATTAAAAATGTGTATTGTATATTAACAGTAACCACCAAAAATATGCTTTAAACCATACTTCTATGAAATTGGCTTTTCACTGTATAATAGACACACCTCAGCATTGGGAGTACAAGACCGTCTGATGAATCTTGCTTCATTGCCAAAAGTTCTTGCATCAACACACATTTCTAGCCCATGGAATTTAGAATAGAATAAAACAAATGGATATGGCCTAAATTAAAAAAATAAATGAAAATATTATATGTATATTAATCATTTTAAACAACTAAACATTTTGTGATTTTCTTCATGTATTTGTTACAAAGGATATTCTTAATAGATAATTGTATATGGCTGCAAAGCACATATTTGAACTCCAGATGTCATCGTTTCAGAGAGGTCTATGTAAACCGTACATTACAACCAATGAAACCGCAAATAGGAAAGTTGCTTGCCTACATTCTAAGAGATGCCTCACATAACTGAAACAATGTTTTGCAGCCCATGAAAATTGTTTTTATCATTTTGGCTTGTGTGAACTGACAGTTGACAAACTGCTTTTCGTAACTATAAAATGATGCAGGCAAAAGCAAATCTAAAGTCAAAGCAACACAAAGTATACTGCATTTGAAATACATCTAACGTCCAGGTATAATAACCAGAACATTTTTTTTCCCAAACTGGATATTATGGTACAGATCTACAATAGTTTTAGGCACAAGAGCTAGTGTACATGGATTTGAGACTCTGCTGCAAGTCAAGCAAAAAAAGCTTGTATTTCAAATCAAGGCAATTCTGAGACCAGTTTGAGATGCATTCATTTAAAAGAAGGAATAAAGGCTTGTGTGTACAGGCATTTGCTAGTTTATCCACTATATTCAAGTCAAAATGAAAGGCATTTGCAATTTTTTTAGCCTCTTAACTGACTACTGTCTTGCTCAAACACACGTCCTATTCAGGCATGATGACCCTCTGACGTATTTCAGTGACACGTGTGTGACAATGGGCGGGGCGACGCTGCCGACATCAGGGGATCCCAGGATGGACGCCACCGCATGCTGCAGTTTGGCTGCTCATTGGTGAGCGCAGCGCCCCCCCTTCTCCTCATATGCCACTGGTTGGATATAGAGGAGTTCCCCTATTTAATGAGGATGCTTGCCTCTGCACTTCCCTCATTTGCACACAATCGCCTAAAAAACATACCATACTCCATTCGGCACCTACAAGTAATTTTGCAGGCTTTTTAGATCATTTCTTTATCCTACTTATGTTGGCCATATGTAATGAGATGTATTCTAACTGCTATAGACTAGCTACCCTTTCCCCACTCAACTCTGGGCGATGACTGGCCTCCTTTGACCCAGCAGCATTTAGTACAGCAATCCTACTCCTGCATTATATTTTTTTTGTACTTTTACAGATATTTGAATACACTCTGTGGGGTCATCGGGGATACTTGTGGTGGTTTGTTGGACCTTTTTGAGGTCACTGTCTTGTGGTTTCCTGTGGACGTTGGCAGATTTCAGCCTTGTAGGATTTACTGTTTGTTATCTTCATGCATAACATTAACCTGCATTGATCACGCAAGTGTGTAGACCAAGATTGCCTTTTCTGCACCACTATGTATTTTCCTTTTTTGGCTTGTCCTGCATGATTACTGTTTTTGTAGATATACAATTAATTTTTGTAGCTTATATTTTACAGTTGATGTACGCATTTCTTCCCCCTGAAGGAGTTACTTTTCCGAAACATGTTGGGATTTGGGATCTATTGAAGGATACACCCTAACTGACCAAGCTATGTTAAAATGATTGGCAGTCTATGTATAGTGTATATTTATATGTCCTTGGGTACTGTCATTATGCATTGTCAGCTAAGCCTTATATTGCATTGAATGGAAAAGGTCAGATGATTTTACTGACCTATTGGTCCATTTTGTGTATTTTCTACGCATGTCTAATAAAGAATTATGTTGCAATTGTCATGCTTACCAGGGCTTTGGGCTCCTCTAACTTCCAGTGCATACAACGTTTGAGACCACAAGTCCTTGAACGCATCAGGCTCCGTTTGTCATGAAAAGGCTTTGCATGTACTGGACTGTAAGTGAATGCAGCCTGCTTATTGGCACATGACCTAGTATCCCAGATCACCTAAGGTGACAAAACTGTGCCTGTTGTCAGACCCTGCAAGGCAGCATGGTCAGGAGACATGGCTGGGGACAGTATTCCACAGAAATTTTAGTCTGGAAAGGAACGCTCCATAGCAATATTAGTGGACAATCCATGTACACTAAAAGGTAAACTGTTCAATATATTTTTTTTTTTTTTATTTATTTATTTTTTTTTTTTTTAAAGTCAGCGATTAGATACCCTTTTGGTGATTGCAAATGTGTGTTTACACAAACCTGAAGATCAATCAATATACAAGGCTGTTACCTCAAAGCATGCTTTGTTTGATTTGATGGTAAATCTGATGCCATGTACATTGGTCCTAAAAGGGATACTGAAATTTACACGTTACCTATTCAAAAGGTTTATAATCCTTTTTAGCATGCCACAAACAAAAAATACCTTTTAAAAAAATATCCATTAGCCTCAAACTGATCCCGCAGCATAAACTTTCCTCTGTATTCAATAATTAACGTTTCAGGAAGCAGGTCTTTGGCCGCCTTTAATATTTTCTTGTTCTTCTGCAAATAGCTCTGCTGAAATACAGAGAATTAAATGAAACAATGAGAATTGAAATGTACCATATGCTCACCAACTGTGGGTATGTAAAGAATTACAGCATAAAGACCTCCAAAAAATGTATGGGTATCCAGCATACAGATTTATGTTACGCAATAAAAATGTGAATCATGGGACCTGTGAGTCTCCCACTAAACTGTTCACCTTGCTGACGCTTCATGCCTTGAGTCATGATTTAAATAAATGAAAACAAAAAACTTTAACAGGCAATGACAAGGAAAACAGGAGATCTACACACATACACACACAGTATCTCAGAGGAGTACACCCCTCACATTTTTGTAAATATTTGATTATATCTTTTCATGCGACAACACTGAACAATTGACACTTTGCTACAATGTAAAGTAGTGAGTGTACAGCTTGTATAACAGTGTAAATTTGCTGTTTCCTCAAAATAACTCAACACACAGCCATTAATGTCTAAACCGCTGGCAAAAGGAGTACATCACTAAGTGGAAATGTACAAATTGGGCCCAATTAGCCATTTTCCCTCCCTGGTGTCATGTGACTCGTTAGTGTTACAAGGTCTCAGGTGTGAATGGAGAGCAGGTGTGTTAAATTTGGTTTTAATCGCTCTCACTCTCTCATACTGGTCACTGGAAGTTCAACATGGCATCTCGTGGCAAAGAACTCTGAGGATCTGAAAAAAAAAAAAAAAAAAAAAAAAATTGCTGCTCTACATAAAGATGACTTAGGCTATAAGAAGATTGCCAAGACCCCGAAACTGAGCTGCAGCACAGTGGCCAAGACCATACAGCAGTTTCACAGGACAGGTTCCACTCAGAACGGGCATAGCCATGGTCGACCAAAGACGATGAGTGCACGTGCTTAGCCTCATATCCAGAGGTTGTCTTTGGGAAATAGACGTATGAGTGCTGCCAGCATTGCGGCACAGGTTGAAGGGATGGGGGGGTCAGCCTGTCAGTGACCAGACCATACGTCGCACACTGCATCAAACTGGTCTGCATGGCTGTCATTCCAGAAGGAAGCCTCTTCTAAAGATGATGAACAAGAGAGACCGCAAACAGTTTGCTAAAGACAAGCAGACTAAATACATGGATTATTGGAATCATGCCCTGTGGTCTGATGAGACCAAGAAAAATGTATTTGGTTCAGGTGGTGTCAAGCGTGTGTGGCTGCAACCAGGTGAGGAGTACAAAGACAAGTGTGTCTTTGCCTACAGTCAAACATGATGGTGGGAGTGTCATGGTCTGGGGCTGCATACGTGCTGCCGGCACTGGAGAGCTACAGTTCATGGAGGGAACCATGAATGCCAACATGTACTGTGACATACTGAAGCAGAGCTTGATCCCATCCCTTCGGAGATTGGGCCGCAGGGCAGTATTCCAACATGATAATGACTCCAAACACTCCTCCAAGACGACCACTGCTTTGCTAAAGAAGGTGAGGGTAAAGGTGATGGACTGGCCAAGCATGTCTCCAGACCTAAACCCTATTAAGCATCTGTGGGGCATACACAAACAGCAGGTGGAGGAGAGCAAGGTCTCTAACATCCACCAGCTCTGTGATGTCGTCATGGAGGAGTGGAAGAGGAATCCAGTGGCAACCTGTGAAGCTCTGGTGAACTCCATGCCCAGGAGGGTTAAGGCAGTGATGGAAAATAATGGTGGCCACACACAAAATATTGACACTTTGGGCTTAATTTGGACATTTTCAATTAGGGGTGTACTCACTTTTGTTGCCAGCGGTTTAGACATTGATGGCTGTGTGTTGAGTTATTTTTTGAAGGGGACAGCAAATTTACACTGTTATACAAGCTGTACACTCACTACTTTACATTGTAGCAAAGTGTCATTTCTTCAGTATTGTCACATGAAAAGATATAATAAAGTATTTATAAAAATGTGAGGGGTGTACTCACGTCTGTGAGATACTGTATATTGCCATAAATGTATTTGCCATGGATTAGCATCAGGTGAACTGCAAAATAGTACCTCAACAGGTGGTTTAAAAATATGATTGCTGGTGTTGTAGTTGTTCTTGATGATTTGTTCTTTTTTGTCATTTTCACAACCAAGTCTTAGAGCTATTCTTTGTGCCTCTCTCTGAACACTTTCACTGTACTGGTTGATGCTTGCTTCTTCATAGTGATCCATCCAAGCCTTGATTTTACTCTCCCATCCATATATGGAACTGTCACCAGGGTCAATTTCAGGAGCAGAACCCTAAAATAAGGTTTAAGAAATGGTATTAACCCATGACTGCAATCATGATTAATCAATAAATCACACATGGTTCAGAATTTGAAACGTTTTTAAAAATGGTTCACACCAGAACGTATTACAGGAAACTTGAGCTATGAGTGCATATCCCACACCGCATTCAAAATGCACAGCAGTTGCGATTTGCAGCAGTTTCATTATTACAGAGCTTAATTTTCTTTTTAAGCAAACATGTTATACTTCCCTGCTCTGTGCAAGTGTTTTGCACAAAGTAGCTCCGAACTTCCTCTACTTGGGTCCCCCACCTGTGCTCCTCCCCCCTGCCGAGTGTCCCCAGAGCAAGACGTCTGCTATGGGAGCCCTCATGAATGCTGGTTTCCAAGCCCAGCTCTGTGTCCATAAAACACACAGAACAGGGCTTGGCCCCACTCCTGCTCCCCCCTCTTTGGCTGTGATTGCGCCAATAGCTTCCACTGCTGTCTCTGAGCTAAGACGTAAAGAGTTGGGACAGCAGCCGCTCTCGTGCACATCGCTGTGCCACGCAGAGATCGGGCTCAGGTAATTAGTGGGGGGACCTCGAGGGGGAGCTGCATACTGAAGGGTTTTTACCTTCATGCACAGAATGCATGAAGGTAAAAACACCTTCAGGCTTTACAACCACTAAGTTAATGACAACCCAAATGCAGGTCAAAAATGCAGTAGGTTTGCCCTCACCAGATTGTATAGCACAGAAGTACCATGCGATGTGTTTGCAAAAGCAGTGCATGCACAACTTTTTGTGCAGTGTGGTGCGATTTCAGCCCATTCAAAAAGAATGGGCTGAAATCACACCACACATAAATGTGTGAAATGGAAAAGAAATGTGTGTTAAAGCAGTAGTAAACTGCATCAAAAAAAAAAAAAAAACCCTACAAAAAAGGTAAAAGGCATAATATGCTAGTATGCATCACATACTAGCACATTATGTAAAACTTACCTTAAAACGAAGGTTCGCGAGCTCCAGCCATCTGCTGCACATTTAGGAGATATTAATTTTACCTACAAGTAAGCTTAATAATAAGCTTACCTGTAAGTATAACTTAACCCCTTCCCGCCGATGCCTCCGGCCCTTTAAGAGATTCAGACGCCGGGAGGCGGGGCGGTTGGGGCGTGGTTTAGGAATCATGTGACCGCCGTGATGACGCGTCACGGCGGTCACATGATCGGGAAAGGTCCCGTTCGAAAGAGCGGACCGGGACCTTTCCGTGAGTACCACACGTGTGCTGGGAGCGCGCAGGGGCGCGCTCTCAGCACATATGTATTTAGTTACATGGACGCAAATGTGCGGCCGCTCGGCGTCTAGGCCCAGACGCCGGGAGGCCGCACATTTGTGTGCGGCCGGCGCAAAGGGGTTAAAGTGGCTTTACTACCACTTTAACTTTCCCCCCCCCCCAGAGGGTTTACCCCCCCTTCCTGACCAGGCCATTATTCGCGATATGCACTGCCTTACATTAACTGACAATTGCGCGGTCATGCAAGGCTGCAGCAAAATGAAATTTATGTCCTTTTTCCCCCCACAAATGGGGCTTTCTTTCGGTGGTAATGGATTACATGTGCAGTTTTTATTTTTTGCGCTATAAAAAAAAAAAAGACAGACAATTTTTGAAAAAAAAATAAAATAAAGCAAAACGGTTTCCTAGATTTTTTGCCATAAAACATATCCACATATATATACTGGAATTTGTTTTATACTAGTAATGGTGGTGAGCAGCAACTTATAGCGGGACTGTGGTGGATATTCTGACACTGCGGGGGAACTGTCACGGATATCCCCAGTGACACTACTACAGTGATCAGTGCTAATAAAAAGCAGACACTGTACTAAAGACTCTGGGCAGGAAGGGGTTAACATCTGGGGTGATCAAAGGATTAACTGTGTGCGGTTTTACTATTTTGTCTGTGTGTGCTTTACTACGCAGAGCAATACAAAGCAGTGTGCTGGTGCTGACAGGGGAGAGATCTGTATGGTTTACATAGACCTCTCCTCTGTCACTGTTCCTCAGCGACTGCTGGGTGCCGGAGAGGAATCTCTGGCAGGGTGATAGACAGCTGTAGCCGCCAATGGCGGCACGGGTAGGGTGGCGCACGCCCCCTTACCAATACATGTGATTTTGCGCAGCCCTGCATCAGTACATCTGGTATAGGGCTGTAGGGAAGCGGTTAACGGCTAATTTTAATCAATTAAAATGAAAAATAAATGAACAAAGGAAAAATTCAAAACAAATCAGTATTTGGTGTGACCCTTTGCCTTCAAAAACGACATTAATTCTTCAATTCTTCTAGGTACATTTTTTTAAGGAACTCAGCAGGTAGGTTGCTTCAAACATCTTGGAGAACTAACCACAGATCTTCTGTGGATGTAGGCTGCCTCAAATCCTTCTGTTTCTTCATGTAATCCCAGATAGACTCCATGATGTTCAGATCAGAGCTCTGTGGGGACCAAAGCATCACTTCCAGAATTCCTTGTTCTTTACACTGAAGATAGTTCTTAATGATGTTGGCTGCATGTTTGGGATCAATGTCCTGCTGCAGAATAAATTTGGGGCCAATCACATGCCTCCCTGATGGTACAGCACAATGGGTAAGTATCTGCTTGTATTTCTCAGCCTTGAGGACTCCATTCACCCTGACCGCATCTTAAACTCTAAATACCTAGGTATAGTGATCGCCAGGGCATTCACTGAGTTTTTCGGGCTTAATATTAACCTGCTACTTAACCGTTTGAGATAAAAAATAGCTATGGTGTAAATTATGGCTCTTGCTGATAGGGCAGGCTAGTTTAGTTAAAATGATACCCATGCACCAGCTACTTTACCTCTTGCATAGCTCTCCTAGAGTGATCCCCCTTAAAACTTTCCGCACAATAATTCCCTTCAGGGTTCTCTTTTATGGAAACAAGGTTCTCCCAGATAAGGCTGGAACAACTTCAACGACCAAAGATGGCGAGGAGCATTCATCTTCCCGCACCCTTGGCTATATCATATGGCCGCACAACTGCAGCACAGGGTGACAGGCATGTCCCATCCAGTTTGTAACACCTTGCTGTCCAATGCTGCCACCTTGACTCTAGTTCTTCGCTTTGTCAATTCAACATCTTTATCTGAAGGTCTGGAATCCCACTTCATTGCTAAACCTAAATTGTCCTTATGCATTAGTCTATATTTTGGAAAAGATATAACACCTGCAAGGGGTTACGGGGTATACCAGTATTAGTACTCTGTGGCATAAACCTACATACCCTGAACTAGCCAAGCTTCAGTACACACCCAAGTGGCAAGCTTATGGTATCACGCATGTAAATCAGGTTATTGACAGTGGCAAAATTGCTTCCCTTCTCTACTTTGCAAACTAAATTTGGTATCCATCAACAGATGTATTTCCACTACCTGCAATTAAGGCATGCCGTAACAGCTCAACATTTCCCCCATGACTTCTATATTTCCCTTACCCTGGTGTTTCATATGATGCAACAAGTTTCTTCCACCAAGGGTTTAATTTACAACTGTTTCTCGCAGTTACTAGGGTCATACTTGAATGAATACCCATGCAAAGCTGGATTACAATGGGAGCAAGATGTGGGGGAATTGACTGGTGTACAACGGGAGGAGGCTATGGAGGCAGTATGCTATAGCTCCCTGAATGTGTTGCAGCATTTCTCGCAACTGTACATATTGCTTGGAGCGCACTACACCACTAAACTGTACAAAATGGGCCTGATGACAGACCCTCTTTGCTCGTGTCGACGGGATCATGGGGACTTGACTCATATGCTATGGCACTGTCCCAAGCTCCATAGGTACAGGGACAAAGTCCTGTATACAATTAAATCAGGCTTACCAAATATCTGTGGACCCCTTGTCCTGTATACTGTGAATTCTGGACCCAGTGATTCCTGACACTTTCTGTTAAGGAGGTGGTATCTAGAGCGCTATTTCAAGCCCGTAAAGTGCTCTTAATGCACTGGAAGAGTTAGTTGCCTCCGTGCACTCAGGACTGGATTGCCAATATGATTATCACCCTGAGCTATGAAAAACTTATATACAAACACAGTGGCTGTCCGGCTAACTTTGATAAAATATCAGATTGCTGGCAGTCTGTACCTGGCTTAATGCTGGTGGAGCTAGTGTTACCCTGACTGTTAGAGATTAGACAGTACACCTAGGAAACTCAGCCATAACCTAAGGTGGCACAGGTCTGAACTTACCCTTGGATACTGTATTTAATTGTATGATACTCGCTTTGACTAGTCTGTTGGTCAGTGGAGGATGACTGTGCGGGGGCAACATCTGTATTCCACAGTGAATTATTTCTGAGTAACTTGTAAGTCTATGCATCTACATGACAAATGTTCCGATGTATGCCGCTACTGTGACACAGATACTCTGTAACCTATTTCTGTTCAATAAACTATTTCTGATTTAATTAAAAAAAAAAAAAAAAAACACTGGCGCATAGGCTGGGATGTCCAGTCCCATACATAAATCCAAACTAAAATAAAAGCCGGGCACTGGGTATGTTCCTCTTGATATTCTTTATTGGCTACAAGACAAGGATACAGTGTAAAAAAATAATGTGTTTTAGCTCTATGAGGAAGGCTGCATTAGTTGAAACCAGATTACCTTTTTATACTGTATCCATGTCATGTAGCCAATCAAGAATATCAAGATGAATATACCAGGTGGCAGGCTCTCTTTTCGATATGCTTCACTTTTGCCTGCAGAAACTCCTTCTACCATGCTCAAGCCCTTCATGAACACACTGCCTTTTGCTACAGCCAAATATTTTAAATTTTGACTCCTCAGTCCAGAGCACCTGCTGCCATTTTTCTGCACCCCAGTTCCTATGTTTCTATGCACAGGACATTAAACAAGGCTAAGCAACTCAAATATGCACAAAAATATAGGAACTGGTGTGCAGAAAAATGACATCAGGTGCTCTGGACTGAGGAGTCAAAATTTGAAATATTTGGCTGCAGCAAAAAGCAGTTTGTTCACAAAGGACTGGAGAGCAGTACAATAATGTGTCTGCAGGCAACAGTGAAGCATGGTGGAATTTCCTTGCAAGTGTGGGGCTGCATTTCTACAAACAGAGTTGAAGATCTGGTCAAGGTCAATGGAGTCCTCAATGCTGAGAAATACAGGCAGATACTAATCCATCATGATATACCCATCAGGGATGCGTGCGATTGGTCCCAAGTTTATTCTGCAGCAGGACAATGACAACATGCAGCCAATGTCATTAAACTATCTTCAGCGTAAAGAACAAGGAGTCCTGGAGGTGATGGTTTTCCCACAGATCCCTAATCTCATCAAGCCTGTCTAGGATTACATGGAGAAAAAGAAAAATTTTAAAACGTTCACCTTTCATAACACGTTAAACTCTTATTCAGGGTGTAACATGTTACTGTTGAAACTGCCCCCATCATGAGTGCAATGCTTTACATGCTCCCAATAAAAAAAATAATACATTCAAATTTTTTTTTTACCTGCAAAACTTATTCTTTAGTTCGTGTCCTACCCTGTCACCCAGGGCTCACTGCTTCTGCCTCTGTAGCACTCCTAGGGAGGATTGCAGCCGGCTCTCCGGCCCTCACTCCCTACTGCACTGAGTCCTCCTCGGACCCATCATCCAAGGCTCAGGCCCTGCTGTCCCCTGACAGCACCTGAGAGGCTTCCTCGAGATGTCTCCCCACCGGAGGAAACACCAAAACTGAGGTCGGAGGGGAGTGATAGGCTTTTTGTTTAGGGTGAAAGGGTTTCCTCAAGTGGGGAGGAGCCGAGGTCTGCCAAGGTGCTGTCCTGAAAGACGAAGGGGGAAAAATAATAAATTCCAAATTTTTTTTACCTGCAAAACTTATTCTTTAAGGGAAGCATACGTTTACAGAAGAACTGTGGTTAGTTCTCCAAGATGTTTACACAAACTACCTGATGTTACTTACTGGCTATTTTTATACAGAAGCCATTTCTGTATAACCAAGTTTGGATGTAGTATATTTTGCTTTTTTGATGGTCTATTGTGATTTGTTCCTTTTGTGACCTTTCCTCGCCCTCTAAACTGTATATTTTTTTTTTAACCTTTGCATTGTGTGATGTCATCACTAGGGGGCATTTTTGGTGGGTTGGTCTTTGGTTTTCTTTTAGTCCATTCACTTCCATGATTTACTGTCTTGAGAAAGATGGACTGAGCTTGAGATATTGACAATAAAATGCGGTTTGATTTATCTTGGCAGCAAGACCCGTGCCTCTATACCAGTTTCAGATTTGAATGGATCTCTTTGTGGGTGAGCACCTGGGCAGTGAGTACTCTTGCTCTTGGGAATATTTTAAAATATATACACACAAATTAAATGAGCAGGGCCCCAGTGATTCCTCCTGCACTGAGTTGCATTGTAACTGTATTGTCTGCTCTTTTCTTGTAAAGAGCTGCACAAATTGTTGGTGCTATATAAATCCTGTATAATAATAATAATAATATAATATATATATCTATATATATATATATATATATATATAAAAAAACACACACACTATATACATATACACACACACACACGCGCGCGTTAAGATGTACCTTAACTCGGGAAGATTTTCTTGATCCTTCTCTGAAGGCCTTTAGAAAGAAAGAGTTGAGACGTTAACATTTTAATCACTTACAAAATAAACAACTGACACACACGCAACAAATAAAATTTGCTAGTGCTTCCAACACTCTCCTCCCCCCAGACTGACAATGCTGCTGTCCAAAGGTGCCCTTGTGTTCCTTCATTCAGAGTGGGGGCACTCTAATATAGGTAGTGTGTTACTGGCCAGATCACCAGGTGAAAACAGGGTAAAAAAAAAGTCTAAGAAAAGAAAAACGGATGCAACCACATCTAAAAGATTGTTAAACTGTAATATATTAAATTTTTGGTTTTGGAGTTTAATATCACTATAAACCCAAAAGCAAAACATATTACAGCTTACAAATTCTTAGATGTATTGGCTGCATTTTTTTTTTCTTCTTTCTCCTCTTTAATCTAGTGATCTAGTCAGTAAGTCTGTTTTTCAACAGTTGTCCTGCAGATGTAGCAGAGGTTTGAGACAAACCATTTACCAATGACAAGGGTGCTTACAATGGTCAGCTTTTATTCACATAAAGCCTGCATCCCAAAAGGAACAGAAGAAGAAGAAGAAAAAAAAAAAAAGTGTTAAAAAGTGTTAGCTGGAGTTTGGCTTCAATTTGTAGTGTATCTAAAACTGTTTGTCAATCTAACAGTTCCCTCCACCCACCCCCAACTGACAATGCTGCTATCCAGGAGGTGTCTCTGTTGCTACAGTGTTACTGGCCAGATCACCAGGTGAAAACTGAGGAAAATTAAAAAAAAAAAAAAAAAAAAAAAAAAAAAAAAAAAAAAAAAAAAAAAAAAAAAAACAAAAAACCACAACAACCCCCCCGCCCTCCCAAACAGTTACCTGCTCCAGTTAGCGCTCCCCCACTGCCCTGGATTCAGGTCTTCTCTCCCCCCCTTCCCATTTTTGCAGGAACTTGGGCAGCAGCAGCCATTGGCCCCTGCTGCGATCAAATGCTGTGAGAAAACAGAGGGCAAGGCTGAGCCACTCTGTCTATAGGCGTACACAGCATGGCTCTGGAGCAAGCCCATAGGTGTGCCCCCATAGCAAGAGGCTTGCCATGGAGGCACATTAAGAAGAGGAGCCACTCTTTGTAAAAGCATTGCACAGAGCAGGTATGACATGTTTATTATTTTAATTTTTAAAAAAGGTTCGCATATAGTCACTTTAAACTGTAGCTAGCAACAGAAAATTGATGCTAAAGCTAGGATCTACAAAGTCAGACGAATGGTGCACCGAAATGAAAATTCTGGTGCTGAAACCGATAGCAAAAATTTAGAATGCATGTGGCCGAAAAAAAGTCGAAACTGAAATGTCTGCATATGTTGGGGTGGGGAGGCTCCAATTTTTTTTTTGTATTTTTTTTTCACTTTCATGTTTATTTTTATTTATTTTTTTTAACTTATGATTTTATTGCCATCACATAGGGGACCAATAGTCCCCCTATGTGATAGCATATGAATGACTGGCCCTCTTTGTAGGGGGTGGGGGGCAGTGTGTGAGCAAGGAGGGGGCAGGAGCAGTGTATACAGTAGGAGCAGTGCATACAGAGTCTGCATTTTCCCACACCTAGTGTACTTTTTAAACCAGGCCTTAGTGATGAGCCTGTCAAATGTATCCATGCCTTTTACATATCTATGTCTGACTTAGGGATGCACTGAAATTTCGGCCACCGAAACATACCGGCCAAAAATAGCCCTATCGGTATTTTGCGGATACAGGAGACTGTGTACTGCAGATATGGGGGGGCGGCTGAGAAAGGCAAGAGAGGAGCAGTGAATACAGTGACTGGCTGTCACTATATGTCAGTGCCGGTTTTTAAATGCAATTGCCGGCTTTTTATTTCCTCCACTATAGCTCACAGAATTAGCTGTAACTTTCCTGGAGCTAAAGGAAACGGTTTCTTTTAGCTGGGGGAAAGTGACAGCTAATTCCGTGAGCTATAGTGAAGAAAAAAAAAAGCCGGCAATTGCGTTTAAAAATCGGCACTGACATATAGTGACAGCCAGTCACTGTATTCACTGCTCTTCTCTTGCCTTTCTCAGCCGCCCCCCTCATATCTGCAGAACACACAGTCTCCTGTATCCGCAAAATGCCGATAGGGCTATTTTTGGCCGGTATGTTTCGGTGACCGAAATTTCAGCGCATCCCTAAGTCAGACATAGATATGTAAAAGGCATGGATACATTTGACAGGCTCATCACTAAGGCCTGGTTTAAAAAGTACACTAGGTTTGGGAAAATGCAATGGATACATTTAACAAGCTCATCAACTAACAAAAGCCTGGTTTAAAGGTCTACTGTGTGAGGGAAAAAAGTGAATCTTTAAAAAATTATCATCATGGAAGTCTTTAAAGTTAATGTTGGAACCAGACTGTAAAAAAAGGTTGTCTGAACAGAATTTTCAGGGTGAAAATAAGGGCCAATAGGAGGGCAACTATAAATATGTGTAACAGATCTAACAGCATCATCTTCCTAGAGGTGCTGAGCAAAAAATACCAGCTTTCGGTCATGAAGGCTGAACCTACATACAAAGTAGAGCTGCTGGAGCAATTCACCACCCCAAGAGCTCTGCGTTGCCAGCTGCACTAGAGGGCAGTGTGATGTGCAACTGAGTATCTCACACTGCCCCCCCCCCCCCACACTTTTTTAAACTGTATTAGTGTACAAAACATATACACTATTCACTGCAATGTAGGGCACCATGATGCACTGAGCTGCTCTTCATTACAAAACAGTGCATTTTGGCTCCATGTGCTACGATAAAATGCAGGATGTCTGCATTTTACTGCAGCACTAGGCTGCGTTGCAGTGTGACTGGGACACAGAACAAACAATTGTTTCCTGTGTGTCCCTGCAGTGACCAGCTTTTACACTGCAGTCAAATGTCTGTCACCGCAAACAGTGTGAATTAACCCTGACAGGTTAAGAAAGAAGAAGTCAACTTTCACAAGGTCAGTCCTCTTTTAGACAGGGCATATGCTCTGCGGTCTTTTGTTCCCCATCAAATTTAATAAAAAACCCATCTCCAATCAGTGGCATTGCTATGGGGGTGCAGACAGCACCCGGGTGGCACCTGTAAGAGGGGTGACACCGTCCAGGGCCGCCAGCGCAGGGGTTAGGACCAGAGGAGGCAGTAACATGACATCCCTGCCGGCAGTTGATGCAGCAGTTTGAGAGGACGCTGCTGGCCAGAATGAGGGCAGCGGCAGCCACTTCCGGCATCTTCCTTCTTGGGGACTTCAGTGGAGCAACGGGGCCACAGTCCACATCCCGGCATTAGGGAACAGACAGATGAACTCTGTCTCCCACCTCCATCTCTCTTTAGCACTAAGTGCACTGAAGAGTGATTTTGGAGCAACCTGCATTTTAGTGAAGCAGGTCAGTGAAAGACTGATAGCCAGCCCAGCAGCATAGTGCATCTGTTTAAATCTATACTAGACAGGCTGAGTTTTTCCTGCCCAGTGCCCATATACACAGATTACAGAGAATATCTAAAGTCTCTGACCATCTCCCGTAGTGTGTCTGCAGTCTCTAACAGTTTCCTGTAGTAGGTCCCGGGGGAGCCCCGTTCTAAAGCTGTGTAAGGGGCTCTGACACCATCAATAGGAAGAGATATCCAACTGCAATGGTGTCACCCCCCCATCCGTGCCAGAGCAAGGATCCGCAAGCCAGCACAAACCGCATCACTTACAAGGCCCAGTTTGGTGTACGCACTATGACCGTGTGTTGCTGTCCCGAAACTAGCCTGCCTAGTGCCCTACAGGGCACTGTGGCAGGCTAGACAGGAGAGAGGGTGGAGGGAGTGACACATGATGTACTGCACCAGATGACACCAACCCTGGTGACGCCATTGTCTCTAAAACAACGCAAGTTCCCTTTCTGCACACAACCACTAAAACGGATAATCCAACCAGAATGCTTTGCCAGTGCTCCTGTTTCAATACATACTTTTTTAGATTTTGCAGAAGTCTGCTCCTTTTCTCCACTCTTCTTTCGTTTCTTGTCATTTGTCTTTGTTACTCTTGTGGCAGTGAGTGTAAGTGTTGTTGGAGTGTGCTGGAAAGCTGTGTACAGCTCCATAGGAACTTCATCACAACTCTCAGTTGCACTGGTGTCACCATCTTTAAAACCAGATAGACAAGTAAATTCATTAGAAAAATGTAAACAGAAACCTAAAATTTATTCTTCAAACTTAAAGTCATACATTTGGTTTGATTAAAATGATTTAGTAACAAAGTTTTATGAAAAATGAATCACAATTAAAAAAACAAACAAAAAAAAAAACCCCAAACACCACACATCAAGCAGGTACTTTACAATAAAACTTCTGCTTTAAAAAATTGCTGAATACAACCCCTTGGTTTAATAAAAGCTGAAATACAAAAAAGATGTTCAATGCCTCAGTAAAAACACAAAACTGTTGCAGTATGGACCAATACTATACTACAAAATAAAAAGGTAAAGCATCAAAACACATTGCCTATCAACTAGAAAAAGAACACTCCTTGTCAAATGCTTGAAGTATAAAAAAGAAGCTTGGAAGATATGGCGCAGCTGTCATTAACCATATTGTGTGCATTTCCCCAAAAAGAAAATTTAGGGCTCATGCACACTGCGCATCACAAATGCTAGTGGGTGCCAGCTCCTCAACAACCAGCTAGTCACTGGTTGAGAATGCAGGTGGGTGCTCGCTCCTTAACAACCAGCTAGTAATTTAATACATTTGTTAAATAGTGCTTGGCTAGACCATGACTCATTTAACAAACGTATTTGTTTACTATTTTTGTGAATTGACTTTTAGACAGGTTTATGCAGTATTTACCAAGCAGTTCTTATTTTTGTGGTAAACACTACATAAACCTGTAGTGTACTGACATTTTCCATAATCCCATGCAATATGTGGATACATGACCCAAGTATCTCTTGTGATCTCCATTTGTGGGTTGAGCCTGTCAGTGATACACTTACTGTTTTAGGGTAATTAACATTCTGGCAGGATCAACAGGTATTCTTTGCTTATCAAACTGATATAACAAAAAGCTTTCAATGTTATATTCAGCAGAGCAAATGGGAGCAAGTATGAGACGGTAATTGTAGAGTTTTACACACACTAACTCTGGAGACCTGTGAATTCAAACTACATTACACACACAAGGCCAGGACAGCACATTGTATAAGGCATTCTACACACAGGGTGTACTACAGCGTACACCCATGCAAGGGCTGTTTCTCCGCACCCAGTGTGCATTTGGGGTCCTGCACCGGTGTACCACGCCCCATGTAAACAAGGCAGATTTAAGTAGTAATAAAGTACTACACAAGACAAAATGAAACCCAAAAAGAATATCATTAAACTTGTGAATTAAAGTACTGCTCTTATGCCCCAGTGTATGATCCTCCGGACAATTTAAAGTAACTGTTTCCAGGTCTCGGCCTGCTAATGAGCGCACATCTAGCTTAACCACTTTCCCTTTGGAAGAAGTACCCCCTCCCCCCACCCAGGCCATTTTTGGCAATAGAGCGCTGCGTTACTTTAACTGACAATTGCACGGTCATGCAATGCTGCATCCAAATTAAATTTATTTCTTTTTTTCCCCCACAAATAGAGCTTTCTTTTGGTGGTATTTGATCACCTGTGTTTTTAATTTTTTTTGCGCTATAAACAAAATTCTGACAATACTGGAAAATCTGAAAGTGAAAGCGGTTACAACATAACTAAAGTGTATATACAAGGGCAGCACAGTGGCTAAATGGTTAGCACTTCAGCTTGGCAGTACTAGGGTCATCGATTCAAATCCCAACCACAGCACCACCTGCCTGGAGTTTGCATGTTCTCCCTCTGCCTGCGTGGGTTTCCTCCAGGTACTCCGGTTTCCTCCCACACTCCAAAGACATGCTGGTAGGTTAATTGGCTCCTGCCTAATTTGGCCCTAGTATGTGTATGTTTGAATGTGAGTTAGGGACCTTAGATTGTACGCCCCTTGAGGGTTAGGGACTGATGTGAATGTACAATATATATGTAAAGCGCTGCGTAAATTGATGGCGCTATACAAGTACCTGTAATAAATAATAATATATAAGAAGAACTACAAGTTTTGTACAAAAAAAAAAAAAAAAAAAAAAAAAAAAAAGAAGAAGAAATACAAACAGTAAAAACAGTACTGGCAATAGTGATACCAAATATAATCGAAAGTGCACATTTTTAAACATGTGCAAACTTTTGACCACTGTGATGACACAAAACAGTAAGTACAAGCAGTAATTTTAACAGGAAAAAAAAAATTTACATGGAACATGCAGACTGTCATACCATACTGCCCAAGTAGACAAAATGTTACTTGTGAATACCACTACTTGGACATGTGCATGTATGAATATAGTCTGTGCATGTACATAACTATAGAAAGTCAGTCCGTCTACTTTCATATAAAGTACTAGAACACTTTTACTTGTTTAAAAAAAAAAAAAAAACAGACATACACACGTTTAGAAATAACATGTTTTGCATATAGTAAGAGGGAGGTGTTACACTTGAAATGGTACCTACCAGATAAAAGGTTTCCGCTGTTGCCTCTACCATTGTAGCACGTTTGAAGATCATCTGCATTAGAGTCACAAAAGTTATAGCCCAAAAGGTATGTGGCACTCAAACAACATTATCAGTGCACTAACACTCTTTGGCTGTGTATGACCAGACTGATCTGCTCATCTAATGGCAAAGAAAGTATTGCCTCCTTAATAGGCTTCACCGTTGTCTCAGCTATGAAGATGATCTATACAATTGCAACTAAAATTACTCTGAACAGGTAAATATTACACATTTAAATATATTAAAGGTGAAATCAGGGGCCAGTATTATCCCCCTTATACCTAACAAAAAGGTGTCAAAATAACTTTTTAATCATTCAACACAAACTAGTATTAATACAACATTTTAAACCTTTCAATTGACAGTACTAAGAAAATAATTAGCAGAATTCTACATTGTAATGCCATAAGAAAGTAGTCCTACAACTACAATATAGCACTTTAAACCAGTTCTATCTTTACTGCAGCACATCTTGCAATAGAGGCAATTTAGAAAAATATCCAAATTTAAGGAAAATGCACACAGGTTTGTACATTTTAGGGGTCTAATTATATAGGTTTTTACACAAAAATCACGTCATTTTATAATTAGGTTAAATTGGAAAATGTGTGAATCCTTTGTGAAACCCTCTATCAGTAGACCCCTAAATGTACAAACCTGATTTTACATTGATCAGTTAGTGGTGAAAATTAGAAAAATACCCTGATCAGGTCATGCACAGAACTGCTCTACTATTCTAATCTTCCAAAAATTTTAAGTCCTTACAGGAACCCCTGTTCCTGTTAGTTTATAAATATTTTACAAAAATTTTCATTTTACTCTGTTTTTTTGGGTTTCACTGAAAGATACAAGTCTTGTACGGTCTGATTATACGGCCAACTACAGTAGGACACTGGCGAACGAAAATTGTGCCCGATATAACTACTCCTTCCACTGTGCCTTGGTTTATTGGTAAAGCAGTACTAAAAGCATAGTGCATCACATTGTCGACAAAAATGTGTGCCAACTTCTCCCTCAACTGGAGGTCCAGAAGATATCCCAGACTTGGGGAGCCCTGGAAGTGTAGCAAGGCAAGCACAGGTGCCAGTAACTTGGTGAGTACTCGAGCAGCATCATAAGATAGGCCAAACAGCAGGGCCACAAGCTGGAAGTGTTGCATGCCCACAACAGAGCTATGTCTTCACTGATGTGCTGTAAAAATAGGGACATGCCAGTGTGCATTCTTCCAAAATGAAAACGTTTAGAGACATGAAATTCAAGATGCAGTGGAGGTCCCTTTTGGTTTAACAACACTGTAAAGATTGGAGATAAACCCCTGGAACTGCCCTCTCACAGGAACTGTGGCAATTATCCCCATTCCGTTAATCTGTGCGACACTGGCAGGTTGGAAAACCGGAAATGTGGTGGTGGGGGGGGGGGGGGGGGGGGGGGGGGCAAAAGCAAAAATCTAGGGTTTGCGGAACTTTGGAGCCCAAGGTTTATAGGAAGACTTGAGGCCAGATTTGGGATTGGCTTTGACGTTTGAGGCCTATCCCTTAGCACAGCACTTTAATGAACATGAGAAACATTGAGAATTGGGATAAAAAAAAACACATCTAGCAAACCGTCACAGTAGCCGAAAGCTACAGGCATGAGCACCAAAGACTCAGCAAGCAAGGAATTAGCTTGGAAGGAGACCAGATCCTTCTCATAGCCTTCATTCAGTCAGTTAAGTTCACAGACTAGTAGGACAGCCAAGGCAGGTTTGTAAGGCAGGGCCTTTCAGAGAAAAAAATGTTTTTGAAGGGCTCTCTGGTTACTTATTGATGGGATCCTTAAACCACAGGGGCACCCTTTACAGTGATTATCAACTCCTTCTAAGGTGGGATACTGTCAGATTCAGAGGGAGGGGCCTACTTTTTAAACAAAGTTTTTTTTTTCTCAAATAGCTAAATGACTGCCAGCTTTCTGAGAGGAGAGAACAGCTTGTGGGGCTTATCCCAATCCCCATAAATGACTGCTGGAAACAGCAGATGCACCAGAAGGTATTGGCAGACTTAGGACACCTAAAGAACCCTAGGCTGGAAACAGTGCTAGATTGATCCTCAAGCTATAAAAAAGGTAGAGACAGTGTCTTTAATCCTGGAAATAACAGAGGCCTGTAACTACTCAGGAGTAACAACATCTGTTAAGGATTTAAAATCGGTCCTTTCCGCCTGAATAAAAACTGCACAGGAAGCAGCACTGCATGCTGGCATTAAATCCTCTTACAATTGTTACTTTTTTGCCTTAATTTACAACTACCATTTTCCACTTCTTGGTTGAATGAGGCACTGGTGATGTAACCAGGGCCTCACAGCTGCATCCTGTTAAGCTCCTGTTTCCTTAATCTATAAGTATCTGTTTGTAGGTTGCCATTACTCATTTCTAAAAGGTGCCTTTGTGCTAGTTTTTTAGGATAACTGTGAAGCTCTTAACATTAGACATTTTGACTGAAGGCTAAGATGGTGCTTACACTACTGGTAGCTCAGATACAGATTCTGCAGGGAAAGGGTGAAGTATGCATGTGTCCTTCACAATCAAAGTTGCAATTTGGCCCATGAAGTCTTGTACCCTGCTCAAAAAAATTAAAGGAACACTTTTTAATCATAGTATATAGCATCAAGTCATTTAAATGCCTGGGATATTGATCTGGCCAGTGAATTAGCAGAGGGGGTTGTTAATCAGTTTCAACTGCTTTGGTGTTAATTAAATTTATAACAGGTGCGCTAGATGGGCAACAATGAGACGACTCCCAAAACAGGAATGGTTTTACAGGTGGAAGCCACTGACATTCTTTTCCCTACTCATCTTTTCTGACCATTTTTCACCAGTTTTGTATTTGGCTAGGATCAGGGTCACTACTGGTATCCTGAGGCGATACCTGGACCCTACAGAGGTTGCACAGGCAGTCCAAATCCTCCAGGATGGAACAAAAATACGTGCCATTGACAGACAGGCAGTTATTCTAGGAGAGCTGGACAGGGCCGTAGAAGGTCCTTAACCCATCAGCAGGACCGGTATCTGCTCCTTTGTGCAAGGAGGAACAGGATGAGCGCTGCCAGAGACTTACAAAATGACCCCCAGCAGGCTACTGGTGTGAATGTCTCTGACCAAACAATCAGAACAGACTTTATGTGGGTAGCTTGAGGGCCTAACATCCTCTAGTGGGTCCTGTGCTCACTGCCCAGCACCATAGAGCTCGACTGGTATTTGCCACTGAACACCAGAATTGGCAGGTCCGCCACTGGTGCCCTGTGCTTTTCACAGATGAGAGCAGGTTCACCCTGAGCACATGTGACAGACGTGAAAGGGTCTGGAGAAGCCATGGAGAACGTTATGCTGCCTGTAACATCATTCAGCGACCATTTTTGGTGATGGGTCAGTGATGGTCTGGGGAGGCATGTCCATGGAGGGATGCACAGACCTCTGCAGGCTAGATAATGGCACCCTGCCATTAGGTATTGGGATGAAATCCTTGGACCCATTGGTCAGACCCTACACTGGTGCAATAGGTCCTGGGTTCCTTCTGGTGCACAACAATGCCCGGCCTCATGTGGCGAGAGTATGCAAGCAGTTCCTGGAGGATGAAGGAATTGATATCATTGAATGGCCCCCACGCTGGCCTGACCTAAATCCAATAGAACACCTCTGGGATATCCAGCCAACGCCAACAGGTTGCACCTCAGACTGTCCAGGAACTCAGTGATGCCCTGGTCCAGATCAGAGAGGAAATACCCCAGGACACCATCTGTTATCTCATTAGGAGCATGCCCCAATGTTGTTAGGCATGCATACAAGCACGTGGGGGCTATACAATACCATTTTGAGTTGCTGCAATGAAATTTCAACAAAATGGACTAGCCTGCTGCATCATTTTTTCACTTTGATTTTGGGGAGTCTTTGACGGAAATGAAAAATGATCAACCTACAAAAGGACTGAATTCAAACGATGGGGCATCCTTACACTCAGAGTACAACACATTGCCCAGTCCATATTCGAATAGATTTCCAGCAAGATACTTTTCACCATTGAAATCTGATTTGTTTTCAAAGGGTTCCTTTAATTTTTTTTTTGAGCAGTGTAGAACTGCTATAAATTAGGCATCCCCTCCCCACTTTCACAAGATAGGAATGAGGAGGGAGAACCAACGAGAAAGCTAGGGAAGACTCCAAGGACAACAAAGACTCAAGTAGAGGGCAAAATTCAAGACAGGGGCGTGCTGCAGTCAGCAATGGACTAATTAGTGGATCATGGGCTGGAGACACCCGGTACAGAGGGACTGTTTCTCCTGTGTCTGAAGTCAGACATGTTACATCGTAAAATGGGGAAAAAACATAGTTCTGAGTACAAGGCTAGGTCTTGGATACTCACGAGTTAGCAGCTGGTAGCAGGAGAGGTTCACAGGGCAGGAGGCAAGGTGGTCACTGCAAGGACCAATCAAGTTTAATCCACATGTCACTTGCAAACAGTAACATCAGCAGGAAGGCCCTTACGCAACACTGAAGAAAAGAGCATGGAGCATGCGTACGCCACATTCCACCCAATGGATGACGTCAATTTTCAATCCCTCAGCGAGGCCCCATTCATACTTCACATTATAGGAACTTGAGTTCCCACTTGCGATTTTCACGCAATTCCATGTGTTGCGAATAGGGCAGCACGCAAAATGCAAGTTTGCACCAAGCCAGTGTCAAGAAGAAGCCTACAAATGTATGCTCTGATCTGTTATGAAATGGGGAAGATCAGCCAAATGTTCTCTAATGCGCATGAATTCTTTTACCCACTCACTTTGAGTTGTACATTTAAAAGGAAAAAAAAAAAAAAATCATCTAGTCAACCAAAATGCTGCAGACCTTTCCAATTTGTCAATCTATATCAAAATCAATAGTATGCTTAGGGAAACTGCTGAAGCAAAGTGATATTTAATTCACTATGAGGAAAAGGGCACACAATCTATTCCCAAACTTAAATGCAAGACAGACAGGTATTTGGTATACCTATGTAACTCACCTGACAAATGTTCTCTCTTTCTTTGTTGAAGCAATACAGCTCTTTCCCTGTCCAGAGCACTGTGAGACAAAAAAAAAAAAAAAAATTGTTAGAAAATTGTCTTATACATTTAGCTTGCCGTAGTTTATGCCATCTTGAAATAGACCAAAATAAAGTCAGAAAATCAAAGTTGGCATAATGTCAGACGTGTGCAAGATAGAGCATAATACAACAGTTTCACCACTTTCAAGAATATCAAAGCCTTCTTTGAGTCTGTATAAAAATCAATGGTTTCTATATAACCATTTGAACAGGGCAATTCTGACACTTCTCACATGCATGTAAAAATTAAAATAAATTTGTTTTAATGAGATAATTACTCCCCAAACATGGAGGGGCCCTGAAGAAAAAAAAAAATCTGTTGCTGCAATTTATGTCACACAATATTTGTGGAATAGTTATATTCATTTGCTGCAAAGAAATCGGTTTGATCAGATATGTTACAAGCCGGTAATAGCTTGTTAAACTGAAACAGGAGGTGAGAAAATCCTTGTTGCTTCCGTTTTTCATAGACCAGTGGTCTCCAAACTATGGCCCTGGGGCCGGATGTGGCCCTTTGCCTGCTTTTATCTGGCCCTTTGCCCCAATGTTGCTGACAATGCGGGGAATTCGTTCCTGCCACTGACAACAGGGCCCTATTCCTCAAACTCACATCAATGATGGGGCGTCATTCCCTCCCACCTGACACCAATGATGGGGCGTCATTCCCTCCTACCGACACCAATGATGGGGCGTCATTCCCTCCTACCGACACCAATGATGGGGCGTTAATCCCTCCCACTGACACCAATGATAGGGTGCTATTCCCTCCCACTGATACCAATAATGGGGTGCTATTCCTCCCACTTATACCAATGATGGGGCACTATTCCTCCCACTGATACCAATGATGGGGCACTATTCCTCCCAAATACCAGGTTCTGCTGCCATTGGTCACAGTCCGGTCCTCCTAACGTTTGAAAGACTGAACTGGCCCTTTGTTTAGAAAGTTTGGAGACCCCTGTCATAGACCATAGAGATGATCGGAGAACAGTACCAAACTCCCTGGTGGAACAGGAGAGCCCAGGAAAGCAGCACAAGACACATGTAAAAGTGATCCAGCAGCTCTATAGCTGCACAGTGTCTTTTACATTATACAGCATCATTTACTTTGGGGGCGGTGCAGAGATACCAGGGACAAGACTACAGCTGTACCCATGACTCTGGTAGCACCACTGAAACCCAAAAGTGTACAGGTATGTCCACTTGGGGAAAGCTGTTAAACTAAACCTATGTTGCCGGTTATGCTGACCCATTGGTTTCAATACTTTCTGAAGCTCAAAATCAATTCATAAGCAAAGGACCTCATCTGTGTACTTGTTAAAGGCAACAGACTCAAAAACCTGACACCAGAGGATTAGCATGACAACCAAGCAATTTGCATATTTAGAAGCAGAAGTCACAAATGGTAGCCTCCACAATTCTCTCCCGATATATTCTTCCTTGTAATTGAAAACTAACTATTTTCAGTCGTTATTCAGAATTTTCATGAACTAATACAACCTTTTTCAACCAGGGTGTCAGCTAGGTTCTTCAGAGGTGCAGTGACAGTGCCTAAATTGCTCCCACATTTTCAGCAAGTTGGTGGGTGGATCAAGCCTACTTTTTTTTTTTTGTGTGTGTATTTACGATTTTGTAGTCACATTGTAGAAAATCCCACTATGTGTGCTCCCAATGGGCAATTTAGACAGGGGGGTCCAGGTTTTAACTGCTATGTGTCCTCATTAGGGAACTGTGGCCTTCAATTTATCCTGGTGACCAGTATCCCTAATAAAGAAAATTCCAACATTCTAGTCATTCTAGTCCAAAAAAAGGACAGTGATCATGTGTTTTAAACTCCATCCATACATATCCTTCTCTGTATAAAGAGAAGGATATGTATGGACAGCCGGTAAAAATAAATAAAAGATAAAGTAACTGAATCAGGGTTTAGTCCAGGTTAGTGTTAAGGTCAGCATCAATCTTAAGTAAAAGAAAAACAAACAAAAAAAAAACAATATTTTGGTCTGGGGCCTACATATGGTATATCTATGCATGTCAAGTGCAGAATAATTTTAGACTGACAGTGAATGGCAGCTCATGCGAACGGCGAGAAATATACAGCAAAAACGCATTAAGGGGTTAATAGTAATAGAAATGTGTTATTTTTTTAGTACAGAACAGAAGAAATTATGGAAATATATTAAAACACAACATATTCTTTATAAACATTCATAAATGTGTGAAGAGAAAAGAACTGAAAGGCATAATGCATCACTTACCGAGGTTGACAGCGCTCACACAAATAGATATCCGGTATATTTTGTCTATCAATACCCATGCAATCTATATGTTGCCATACACTGAAAGACATTAAGGAGGACACAATGATTAAAAGTTATCATAAAGGGACATTTTTTGCATGAAACAGTTATGACTTATGTATTTGCTACATTCTAAGAGTGAGAGGAACACACAGAGCAAAAGTCACACTTCTCCCCATCCACAGCCAGGGCTGCTGTACTACAAGAACTCACAGGGTCCCAAACAGCAGCCCCCCCCCCCCCCCCCCCCAAGAAAACCTCCCTTGCCCACTCAGAACGGATTCCCCCTACTGCTGCTGGTGCAGGCAGCCCCTACAGCAGGACCGGTTGTACCCCTTATCAGCGGTCCTGTCCACAGCAGTGATTAACAGTGGAGTCTGTCTGAACACTACATGCACAGCTGTAGTACAGAGTGGGAGCGTGTACATAGAGGGGACTCCTACAGGACTCTCCAAGTACCAGTGGCACAGGCGGAACATAAAGAACAGGGAGTGTCAGCATGGCTGGGGGACACTTTCAAAAGTAAAATCACAGAAGGATTTTTTTTCCCCTTAGAAAAATAAAAAAAAACACAGTAAAAACATGCAAGTTATAGGATATTACCTGTTATGAAAAAGATAGATTGCAATGTCACTTTAAAGTATATCTAAACCTAAACACAAAAAAGTGTAATATATTGCAGCTCACTAGTTCTTAGATGAGGGTGGCTACTATAGTTTCTTTTTCTCTTCTCTTCCCCTGGTGATGCTGATATGGGCTGGGTAATGTGTTAGGAACACAAGGATGCCCCATCGTTTTATAAAAATGAAAATTATCAACCTAAAAGAGATATTAATTCAAAAACACCCTGAAAATTAAAGTGAAAAAATTATGTAGCAGGCTAGTCCATTTTGCTGAAATTTCATTGCAGCAGCTCAAAATGGTACTCAATAGTTTATATGGCCCCTACGTGCTTACAGTGGATATAAAAAGTCTACACACCAGTTACAGTATCAGGTTTCTGTGATGTATAAAAATGAGACAAAGATAAATCATTTCAGAAATTTTTCCACCTTTTAATGTGACCTATAAACTGTACAACTCAGTTGAACAACAAACTGAAATATTTTAGGGGGAGGAAAGTAAAAATAAAAAGCTAAAATAATATGGTTGCATAAGTGTGCACACCCTTAAACTAATACTTTGTTGAAGCACCTTTTGATTTTATTCCAGCACTCCGTCTTTGGGTATGAGTCTATCAGCATGGCACATCTTGACTTGGCAATATTTGCCCACTCTTCCTTGCAAAAACACTCCAATCTGTCCGATTGCGAGGGCATCTCCTGTGCACAGCCCTCTTCAGATCGGCCCAACAGATTTTTGATCTGATTCAGGTCTGGGCTCTGGCTGGGCCATTCCGAAACTTTAATCTTCTGGTGAAGCCATTCCTTTGTTGATTTGGATGTATGCTTTGAGTCATTGTTATGCTGAAAGATGGAAATTCCTCTTCATATTCAGCTTTCTAGCAGAAGCCTGAAGGTTTTGTGCCATTATTGACTGGTATTTGGAACTGTTCATAATTCCCTCTACCTTGACTAAGGCCCCAGTTCCAGCTGAAGCAAAACATCCCCAAAGAATGATGCTGCTGCTACCACCATGCTTCACTGTGGATATGGTGTTCTTTTGGTGATGTGCAGTGTTTTTGTGCCAAACATGTCTTTTGGAATTATGGCCAAAAAGTTCAACCTTGGTTTCATCAGACCATAAACAAAATTTTCCCCACATGCTTTTGGGGGATTTCAGATGTGTTTTTGCAAACTTTAGCCAGGCTTGGATGTTTTCCTTCATAAGAAAAGGCTTCCATCTTGCCACTCTACCCCATAGCCCAGACATATGAAGAATGCGGGACATTGTTGTCACATGTACCACACAGCCAGTACTTGCCAGATATTCCTGCAGCTCCTTTAATGTTGCTGTAGGCCTCTTGGCAGCCTCCCAGACCATTGTTCTTCTCATCTTTTAATCAATTTTGTAGGGATTTACAGTTCTTGCTAATGTCACAGTTGTGCCATATTTTCTCCACTTGATGACTGTCTTCACTTCACTGTGTTTCATGGTATATATTTAATGCCCTGGAAATTCTTTTGTATCCTTCTAATACCTTTTAACAATGAGATCCCTCTGATGCTTTGGAAGCTCTCTGTGGGCCATGGCTTTTGCTGTAGGATGCGACTAAGAAAATGTCAGGAAAGACTTACTAGAACAACTGAACTTTATTTGGGGTTAATCAGAGGCACTTTAAAAAATGATGGCAGGTGTGTACTTGGCTTCTATTTAACATGATTTTGAATGTGATTGCTGAATTCTGAACACAGCTACATCCCCAGTTATAAGAGGGTGGCACACTTATGCAACCACATTAATTTTAGTTTCTTATGTTTATTCCCCCCCACCCTAAAAAATTTCAGTTTGCTTTTCAATTGAGTTTTACAGTTTTTAGGTCACATTAAAAAAAAGGAGGAAAAAGTTCTCAAATTATTTATTTTTGTCTAATTTTTTTACATCACAGCAACTGGCATTTTACCAAGGGTAAAACAAATGAAAGTATCACGCTGCTAGCATAAATAAATACACCTAAATATACGAACAAAAACGTGACTGATAGTCCCAAAAAATTATAAAAAACAGAATAAATGCAATTCTTCAAAAAAAAAAAAAAAATATATATATATATATAAATAAGTGAAATATCTGTGCATCCCTCCATGGACATGCCTCCCCAGACCATCACTGACCCACCACCAAAAAACGGTCGCTGAATGATGTTACAAGCCATATAAAACATTCACGTCTGTCACATGTGCTCAGAGTGAACCTGCTCGCATCTGTGAAAAGCACAGGGTGCCAGTGGCGGACCTGCCAATTCTGGTGTTCAATAGCAAATGTCAATCGAGCTCTATGGTGCAGGGCAACAAGCACAGGGCCCACTAGAGGACGTCAGGCCCTCAGGCCACCCTCATGAAGTCTGTTTCTGATTGTCTGGTCAGAGACATTCACACCAGTGGCCTGCTGGAGGTCATTTTGTAGGGCTCTGGCAGCGCTCATCCTGTTTCTCCTTGCACAAAGGAGCAGATACCGGTCCTGCTGATGGGTTAAAGACCTTCTACAGCCAAATCCAGCTCTCCTTGAGTAACTGCCTGTCTCCTGGAATCTCCTCCATGCTCTTGAGACGGTGCTGGGAGACACAGCAAATCTTCTGGCAATGGCACATATTGATGTGCCATCCTGTAGAAACTAGACTGCCTGTGCAACCTCTGTAGGGTCCAGGTATCGCCTCAGGCTACCAGTAGTGTCACTGACCCTAGCCAATTGCAAAACTAGTGAAAAACAGAAAAAAGGGGAAAAAAAATGTCAGTGGCCTCCACCTGTAAAACCATTCCTGTTTTAGAGGTTGTCTCATTGTTGCACATCTAGTTCACCTGTTAATTTATTATTAACACCAAAGCAGCTGAAACTGATTAACAACCCCCTCTGCTACTTAAGTGACCAGATCAATATCCCAGGAGTTTAATTGACTTGATATAATCTGATTAAAAAAAGTGTTCCTTTTATGTAATCTACACTGCTCAAAAAAATTAAATTACTTAAAGCGATTGTAAACCCTCACCTTGTAAAACAATTCACTCAGTTTAAAATAGAAATGAAAGGCAAAACAATTGTGTATAGGATACAAAAAAAAAAAACAAAAAAAACAAAACATTATATTTTTTTTCCTGTTTTATAAGAGATCACATTTCCTCTGTTCTCAGCTGCATAAGAGCTGAGGGAAGGAAAAAAAAAAAGCAGCACACTGATCTTCCCAGCGAAAGGCTGTGCAGGGGGTGTCGGGCAATTCTGATAATTGGAGAGTAGGCAGAGTTCCCAGCATAGCCAGCCAACTGATCACAATTTGCCCTCATGCTTAGTATAGTCAGTTTTTTAAAGCGGTAGTAAACCTTGCCTATATATATATATATATATATATATATATATATATATATATATATATATATATATATATATAATATATATTTTATATATATATATATATAATTTAAAAAAAATTTATTTCAAATCAGCTGCAAGGCAATTGCATAATGTGATAGTATGCATCGCATACTAGTACATTACGAAATGCTTACCTTAGAACTAAGCCCTCCAGCGATGCGCTATCAACACTGACAGGGCTTCCATCTTCACCCGGTCTTCCTACCATGTTCGTGGGCTGCGGCAGCATGAATGGCCGAGCCGCAAGTGCACGGGAGTCATGGGCCAAGGCACAGTGCTCTTAAGGAACAGCATGGTCTGAGGTTCCTTCAGAGCGCATGCACCAGCTGCCAAAAGAGCGAATATCTCCTAAACGGTGCACGTTTAAGAGATATTAATTTTACCTACAGTTAAGCTTTATTATAAGATTGCCTGTAGGTAAAAATCACAAACCAGACTTTAGTACCACTTTAATAGGAAAGCAGAGGGACTGGCAGGAACACCAGGGATTGCACACAAAAGGAAGCACACAAAGAAAGGATACTTTTTCATATCAGTACAAGGCACATATCAGGAATATGAAATGTTGAGTTTACATATTCTTTAATGCTCAAACAAAAATGTAACATATATACTGCCTAGAGTTTTAACATACCTGCATTTGTCACAACAAATCATATAACCGTCATCATGGGTGAAACCACAAATACATCGAGTGACATCTGACCCATAACTTCCATCTTCAGATGTGCTGATGGTTGTAGCACTGGAAGTCTCATCAAAGTGAGGAGTAGTAAATATGCTCACTTCATTCTTAACAAGAACAGGAGGTGGAGATGCAGGAGGCGTTGGTGGAGGGCGAGCACCATAGTTGTGATCCTATTAAATTTCAACAAAAACATGAAAAACGTGATACATTTTGTTCATTAAAAGCTCATATGCCATGTATAACTTGGCTATCAAAAGCATGCCTGTTTGTAGAATGGGCTGAAAATAGAAACGTGAATTGATGCAGTGATGTTGAGTGAAGAAGTTAGTCTGTGCAGTTGTGAACAAGGAAGTATGTGTTTGGGGCAACAGTAGTACAAGCATAAAAGTATGTGTTGGTGCAGTAAACAGGCAGTGGTGGAAGGATCACTCCACCTACACAATGCCTCTGTGGATATGCGCTGTTGGCCATGTCCACCACCATGATGGACAAAAGGCAAGAGCCTAGGTCCGCATGTGCCCTTTCAGTGAGCTGACTGGTTCTGCAGGGATGACCCACTGCGTAGTGCAGCATCTCTGTGAGGCAATGTATCGAGAAGGTCAAGTCAGTAGGGCAGGCAGCGCTTACCTTACCAACTTCAAAGGTTACCCGTCAAACACAGCCAAAGCCACACCAGCCCAAGCCTAAAAGTGGAAAGCTGAGCTTTTCTGCCTCCGCCCACCGCCCCACCCCCTCTGCTGCCACATTTTGGCACCTTTTGGGTGAGGGAGTCGGTACCTGGTTTTACAGGTATCTGCTACCACATCTGGCTCAGTTCACTGCAGGGGAAGGGGGTAATAAAGTGTCTCTAAAATTTCCTTCTTCATACTAAATCCACACTCTAAAAATAAAAACTAATTGGACAGCTGAATTCATAGGTGGTGGGGCTTGACACCCAGAAGGGCCAGGGTCAAACAGCAGCTAGGATCCAAGAGGCTCCAAGGGGACTACGCTTTAGCAGCCTTAGGCAGCATTTGTGAAACATATACAGTTCCATCATCCACAATTCAGTAACATATGCACTTACTCCCTACAATCAATTGCTCTAGTATCATTGTTGGTGGAATAGCATCTATCAACTGTTGATAAGCCTTACAGTGAGTGGCTGGGCATAGTGGTAATCCATTTCAAAGCTTTCCCACATTAAAAACAGCTTCCTTTGTGTCCAGTAAATTGTTTGGAAGTGGATATATGTCACCGTACAGAGAGCACAGGGGAAGCTGGGTCCCATGTCCTAGCAGCATGCAGTGGTGATCTTTGAAGAAGAAAACAGTGGAGGGAGCTTAAGGGCAAGACATCAGAATCGGCTGCCAGGAGACCATTTCCACTTACGATGGAAAGCAGGATGTGGCAAACTTTGATTTCAGCATCACATGCACACAATTATAAATCGGTATGATATTAATACTTACCGCATAAGGCAAGCCAATATAACTGTGAGAATGGTGAGAACTGCTGGTATATAAATGGTGTGGATAACTATTTGACTTTTCAACTACAACAGGGCTTGCTTCTACAGATTCAGGTCTAAAGGAAAGAGAAAAATACATTCTGAATGATATAGAATATGTAACATACTTAAAGCAAACTTGGCATAGATACACAAACTGGCAAAACCCAGAAACAGGCACCAAGAAGGGGCTGTTCGCTGTTTGCCATCTTCAGAACAGTCTTTGTAAACCAGGGATGTCCCATACATCGTTCTCTTATATAGTCACCAACCTAAATGTTGGTGCTGTTCCATCGGCCCTGGGAGGTGCCCACATGGCAGTATCTGACATAGTGGAAAGCACACAAATAAATCTAGGCAAATGAATAGTACTAATCCATTCCCATTATTAAATCACATTAGCACAGAGAAAAGGTAGGCTATTTGATTCAAGCGATACTAAAGCTTTGCTTGATTTCTCATTGCTGGACCAAGATTGGGTTCAGGTGAATATTTAGAAAGGGGGGGGGGGGGGGGGAGGTAGGTTTTTTTTTAACCTTAAAGCAGAGGATGCGTTAAGCTAAAACTCTTTTACCTTAACACCCACTTTCAGCTGCAAGAGAACTCCAGCCAAAAGTCAACCTCTCAATTTGTTCCAGCGACTATTATCACCAAATGCAAGGCAAAAACCCCAACATTTTGAATGGTGACCAAAACAGGAATGGAGTGTAAATCTTCCAAAGGGGACATTAGTTCTGAGGACGCTAGTGACTACCTGGGATGTCCTCATTTCCATGTTGCAGCTAAGGGACTGAAAGTGAAAGGAAATCAACCCAATTGGAACACACACCCACGTTTTAAACACTCTCCAAAATGAAGAGGAAATTTTGACTTGCCTGTAAAATTCCTTTTTGGAGTGACGCACAGGACACAAGGCTGCAGTCATAGGTCATGGGACATACACCTAGGGGTAGGCAACAAAATGGCAAACTGACAGGCCTACAAAAGCAAGCGCAAGAACCTGAACAGAGAAAAAAAAAAAAAAACGCTTGAAGCAGCTTGCGGCTGAAACTCGCAATCAGCTGAAGCCTGAACACCCACCTGGTAAAACCTAGAGAACATATGAACAGAGGACCGTGTGGAAGCCCTGAAGAGACAAGAATAGATCTGGTGGAATGAGAACTGACAGGGAAAAGAGGAACTTGTTACCCTGAAGGTGTAAGCCCTGGAAACATTCTCTAATCTACCTGGCAATGAGGCAGCAAGAGGCAGGATGTGGCCAAAAGAGCTTGCAGAAAGGACAAAAAAAAAAACCTGTCTTGCAAAAAGAATCTGACCCTACTAGCCTTGACAACATCTAAGCATGTTGCCTAAAATCCTCATCGAGGTAAAACCTTGTGCAGCAGCAGACACAGCTTACAAGAAATGGCTTCCAGCTCAGAAACAAGCTTAACAGACGTAATAGCTACTAGAAAGGCAACCTTACATGTGAGGTCCCCCAAAGGCCCGTTTTACACAGGCTGCAGCTTGTATAAGCAGTGTGAACTGCCAGCTTTTTTAAAGCATTTGCAGAGCTTTCAGCAAGCTTTTGAGGAGTAGCATACAGCTCCAGTTTGTAAATGCTGAACACAAATCTTAATAGGGGCACTGGCTGTCACTTTAAAGAAGCTGCTAGCAGCTTCTTTAAAGTGACTGGAAAATATTATATATAGATCTTAATGGTAGTGCTGACAAACAGGAGCTGAAGGGCGCTTTAAAGGCTTACAGAAAGCTGCTGATAACTTGACAAAAGCTTGCTGAAACTGTCATAAAAGCTTACTGTTCACACTGCTCTCATACAAGCTGAAGCCTCTATGTAACAGGTCAAAAGGGATATAACTGATAGGCTGAAAGTGGAAAGAGGGGCTCTGTGGAGCACAGAGAGCAGTAGGTTCAGATCCCAGAGTAAAACAGAATATTAAATGGAGGCATTAATATGTTCAACTTCCTTAACAAAAGTCTGAATTTGGGCCTGCGAAGCAAAGAGGTTTCTTGAAAAAAATGGATAAAGCAAAAACCTGTCCCTTGAGGGTAGTCAGGGTCAGACTTGGGTCAATTATGGATTGACAAAAGGCCAAGAAATTAACAGTATAATTGAAGGTCTACCCTCGCAAGCGAAAGCATACCTTCCATGTGTGATGGGAGATCTTGCAGGAGAGAGAGATTACTCTTAAAAAGGATCATTTCACCTTTTGTAACAGGTCACACCCATATTCAGGGTATAACATGTTCCGATGTGACTGGTCTCCTGCACAACCCCCCCCCCCCCCCATGCCTGCTCTGAAAGCTAGCAGGGGATCTTCTCCCTCCTTGCTAGCTGTCGCAATTTAAAAAAAAAAAAAAAAAAAAAAAAAAAAAAAAAAGCGTGGCCGTACAGGGCTCTGCCCACCCGTGTCATTCACAGTATGCTGTAAATGGGAAAACTACAAGTCCCAGCAGCCTTTGCGACTGTTGGCTTGTAGTTTTCAATGAACTACCATGGCACTCAACAGCGCCGTGGTAGTCCCTTGAGCCTTCCCATCAGTAATATCTGCTTGCTCGTTTGTTGAATAATATTCAAACAAATCCCAGAACCCTTTAATGTAGAAGACAAACACTATTCAGGAAACTTGTAATAGGGGAGGCTCCAGTAATGGTCTAATACAGGGTAAAGCGGTCTTACTTGCCCATGTCACCGTTTCCTATAAAAGGTCCAAGCTTTATCCACCACAGTGGGCATACTTCTGGAGGGGTCCATAGGAATGGACTTTGGCCCTGGACCCACATAGCACCCTGTGGCTAACTACATATGTTGCACTACGTCCCAAGCTCAGCGGGTCAAGCAGGATTCAGCATCTGGAGCAACATTACAGACCATCCCCAAAGCGTGGGGTCTGGGTTCAACTCCCAAAGCTTTACAGAGGTTGAACTGATCCGAATGCATTTCTACTTTCTGAAAGTGAGGCTGGCAACACATAATACAATTTTCTTGTACAAGTTTAGGTTTACCAAATCCATATAAGATACGAGATCAAACCGAAACTCTCTCAATTTGTATGCACAATTTCCCTTTGGGATGAATAAAGTATTCTGAACCAGGCAGGCCCTTGCACTACATAGTAGATAAAGCTAAAGGAAATTGAACAAGAAAATTGTATAATGGATGGCCAGCTCGAAGCTTTGATTGACAAATCCAAAGTAAAATAAGCATAGAAAGATTTTTCCATAAGAGAAAAATGACCCTTAACCTAAGGGCAGCAGCAAAAAAACAGGTCTCATGGGAGGTAGGGTTATAGGGTTATGCCCAGGGGGCGTGTCCAGTAAGACTTTGCCAGTCTTCAATCGTTAATAGAAGGTAGCAGCCTAAAACCCAGGGTCTATGAAAATCAAGCCTGCATCCTAAGTGTTGGGTTTTTTTTTGACAGTCTCTTTAGGGCCCATAGAGGCTTGCTTGGGATCTGAAGACTCGGGCACTGCTAGACAGATATTTTTGCTCTGCTTCCATCAATGAGTCTACAGTGGAGAGCAGTTGGCGAGAAGCCATAGTTTGGGTCTCATAAAATGGAGGTGTTGAAAAATCCTATGCAGCCTCCACTACATTGTCTGCATCTCTTTCACTATCCTCCATTATATCCTGAATCACATTAGAAGGCTCCATCTTTGATTCATGAATAGAAATTGAGGTGGGGGTGGGAGGTAGTGTAGTATTTTTGGCGTCTGAAAACCGAAGGTTCTAAAGGCCTGGTTCACACCTATGCAGTTTGCTTTTGATCCGTTTCTGTTGCGCATTTTGCGTTTTTTAATGCATTGTTCTTTTTAATACTTTTTTTGGCCAATTTGTTGTTGGGAAAATGCAAAACGCATTAAAAACGTACTACGTGCGTTTTTTTTAATTATCTCCATTGAAGTCTATTGAACCAAAAACACACAGTTTTGAGTGTAAAAAAAGTCTCTGACCCTTTCCAAGAACTCAGCAGCTGAAAAAAGCATAGCTGTGAATGTGTTCCATAGGAAACCATATTAAATGGACTGAAGTGCATTTCTGAAAAAAATCACATAGGTGTGAACCAGGCCTAGAAGTGCGCAAACCTTCCAAAGGAGAAGTGAGGAGTGCAACCCTTAACGGCAAATGCCAGAACAATCACCTGTGGAATCCAACAAGAATAGCAGGAGACACTCCATGATCAAAAGAGAATCCAGCCTCTGGAAAGAGGCCGTAGCAAGCAGGCACACACCACATCTAAGGAGTGCAACGACCATGGACACCATGGATACAAGGAAGGCAGGACAATGTCCTCATCCTGGTGAAAATCCGACACCGCCTTCAGAGGACAGGAAGGGAATGGTGGGTGAGGCATCAACAGCGGGAACCCGCAGGACTGACCACCCCAGGGAAAACCTGTGCCCCAAAAAGTGTCCGGGGAGAGAAGGGAGGGAGCACTACTTACTGATCCAGCGGAGCGTGCGGGTAGGGCTTCCATGACAGATCTTCCTCTACACAAAAGTGGGGAGGGTGGAATGGGGAGGGGGGGGGGGGTTGTCAGCCAGGGTAACAGTGAAAACAAACTCCAGTCAGTCATGTGTGTCCCTGCAATACATCTGTTTAACTCACTAGCCGTCCTGGTCCAGAATGAGGCTGTAGCAGCCGACCCAGCACATAGCTAAAGGTCTGCATGCGCTCACTAGCCAGACTGGGCTGACAACTGGATCTGGATTATTTTATACCAGCTAGGACAGCCCATAGGCATTGCTGTGCTTTTTTTCTGCCTAGTGTCCTACTCCTGGAAGTGGCGCTATAGACCCTATTGTCAATAAACAGAAGAGCGGTTTCCTTTTGTCAGATAGGTACAAGTAATGTGGCCTGAGAGGAAGCTAAAATAGGGGGGGGCTAGTGGTTTGATATGACATTGTCTGGGACAAGGGGACAACTATACACCAAGCAGTGTTTTGCATTTCATGTAAGCCATCAGAGTGCATGTTACTCAGCTCTTTTGTCAAATCTCCCTTTCACCTATGATTCACCATTACTGAGAGGATCCCTGGTGGGGTACCCACAAAATGGATGCAGAGGAGGGTTTTTTGTGCCCAGAAAACAGCAGCCACGATAACCCAAGTACTGACTGATACTTTGTAACTGAAGGTAACAGAGTGCAGCAAAGACACAGCCAACATGGTGTGCACCTTTTATGGCTGCTAAGGCAGACAGGAGTTAATCAGCCAGAAAGGCAGAAGGAGAAAGAAAACCAAATTTAAAACGAATTGTAAATGTCTATGGCACCACAATTCATCAGCCAGATATAATAGGGAGTAGCACAATAAAGTGAATAGCTCCACCACCTATCCAGCCACATGCATTCTAAAGCACTGTAGGTTGTGCATAACCAGGAACAGTTCAAATTAAAATTACAGAGAAATCCTGTCATACCTTGCCTATGTTGCAGTGGCAGACAATTGTCCAGGCCTCACTTGTTACAGGGCATACCCTTGAAAGCATCTTCATGGTAACGAGAGAAGGACCACAGCTCTGAACCTGTATAGCGTCATGTGGCTAACTACACTCATTGCAACAATGTGCCAAACTGAACACTTAGAGCAGAATCCAGTGCCTGAAGTGAAACATTACAGGCCAGTGCCACTTCATTGGTGTTCGGTTACAGTCCGGAAAGTAAACACCAAGGGTTACCAATCTGGATAGCCCAGGGCAAGAAGTAGTCAAATCTTGATAAAGAGTCTGCATAAAAAGAATTGGTCTAACCACTTGCCCTGCAGAGGATTTACCACCATTCCTGACCAGGCCATTGTTTGCGATACGGTGCTGCATTACTTTAAACTGACAATTGAAATTTACCGTATTTTTCGCTCCATAAGACGCACTTTTTTCCCCCCAGAAAAGGGGGGAAAATGTCAGTGCATCTTATGGAGCGAATGTAAAGCGGCCGGTCCGGTATTTCTGCCGCCACCATGTCAGAATATCAGGCAGGCCGCTTAGCTCTTCTCTCCTGCAGGGCCTTACCTGTTCCTCGCTCCAGTGCTGCAGTCTTCCCGAGGCAGCTTCTGTGGCAGCCGGGTGCCCACTGCGCCTGTGCAAGAAGCGCCGCGCTTTGTGAATGGTCCGGTGTCTTCTGGGACACATGACAGGTCCCAGAAGGCTCCGGGCCATTCACAAAGCGCAGCGCTTCTCGCGCATGCGCAGTGGGCACCCAGCTGTCACAGAAGCCGCCGCGAGAAGAAGGACGGACAACTCCGTGGAAGTGGGTACCTGTCAAATTCAGGTACCCACTCCCCCTCCCTCCCCAAAGGTACGCAGTCTCTGGTAATCTCCTTTACTGTCTGCAGTCTCTGGTTATCCCCTGCACTATGTCTGCAGTCTCTGGTCATCTCCTGTACTATGTCCGCAATCTCTGGCCATCTCTTGTACTGTGTCCGCAGTCTCTGGTCATCTCCTGTACTATGTCCGCAGTCTCTGGTCATCCCCTGTACTGTGTCCGCAGTCTCCGGTCATCCCCTGTACTGTGTCCGCAGTCTCTTGTCATCCCCTGTACTGTGTCCGCAGTCTCTGGTCATCCCCTGTACTGTGTCCGCAGTCTCTGGTCATCCCCTGCACTGTGTCCGCAGTCTCTGGTCATCCCCTGCACTGTGTCCGCAGTCTCTGGTCATCCCCTGTACTGTGTCCGCAGTCTCTGGTCATCCCCTGCACTGTGTCCGCAGTCTCTGGTCATCCCCTGCACTGTGTCCGCAGTCTCTGGCCATCCCCTGTACTATGTCCGCAGTCTCTGGCCATCTCCTGTACTGTGTCCGCAGTCTCTGGTCATCCCCTGTATTGTGTACGCAGTCTCTGGCCATCTCCTGTACTGTGTCCGCAGTCCATTGGATCAGAATATTTTTTTTCTTGTTTTTCTCCTCTAAAACCTAGGTGCGTCTTATGGTCAGGTGCGTCTTATGGAGCGAAAAATACGGTAAGTCCTTTTTTCTGACAAATAGAGCTTTTTTTTTTTCGGTGGTATTTGATAGACTGTGCGTTGTTTATTGTTTGCACTATAAACAAAAAAAACCCCGACAATTTTGAGAGGAAAAAAAAAAACGAATTTTGTCAAATTTAGGCCAAAATGTATTCTGCCACATGTCTTTGCTAAAAAAAATTCCCAATACATGTAAATTAATTGGTTACGTGAAAGTTATAGCATTTACAAATGGCGATATAGATACTGGATTTTTTCTTTTAATTTTTATTAGTAATGGTGGTGATCAGCGACTTTTAGCGGGACTGCAATGGGCATTTTGACACTGGGGGGGAACTGCGTGATTTTGGGCACCCCTGCCGCCCTGTAGCAGTATTTTTGCTATTAGGGCAGAGGGGAAGCAGTTTTAAAAGAAAATAACGTCTCAAAAAAGTCCATCACCTTTAAAAAAATAAAAAAATAAAAAAATAAAAACTGGAGTCTCAAAGTGGATGGGACTATATATGCATGCAGTAGGGAGACCCTAGCAAAGTTAATTGCCAGTCTCCACTCACTTGAAGCTAGCCTGCATATAATCCATGGTCTATGACTGCAGCCGTGTCCTGTATGATGATAACATTTTGCCTTAAAGTAGATCTCCAGCTTTTTAGTGAAGTTTAAACGGTTTGTTTGGGCCAAGTTGGTTCAAATGAACTATTACTTCCACCAACAGATGCAGTGGCTGGGAGTACTGTAAGAAAACAGTATTCAGCCTCATCTATATACAGTTCTGTGTTCTGGCAGCAGGACGAAAGCTTCCCGCTTCCGAAATAAAATCATAAAATCGAGCAGGCTGCGCAATGTTCGGCCATTCACAAGAAGCTTTGAATTCTATGAATGAACAAAAGGTTCCTCTGTTTGGCTAAGGCAGAGATAGCAATCGTAATCCACCCACCTTAGCTAATCAGAGGATGATTTGTATTCAATCATAGAATACAAAGCTTCTTCTGAATGGATGAGCAGCACGCAGGTCAATTCAATTTTGCTCCATGTGCAGGATGGAACATTCTCATTCTGCTGCCAGAACACAGTTGTATACTCTGTATGTAGCCTCGGCTAGATAGTTTTTATATAGTGCTCACAGCCGGATCTGTAGTGAACTTTTTTTTTTTTTTTTCCCCCACCAAGGTGAGGCGATTGGGTTGGCTGCTCCCAGAAGGGCTAGCAGGCAGAGGTAACTATTTCAATCTCATCTGTTATTGCCATGTAGCCATCAGGGAGCTGTCTTTCACTTCCCACCCACAGACAATAAGATGAGGGTTATTATCTTCCCACATGGAGGAAAAAACCCAATAGTGATAGTTTCACATTATATTCACGTTTGTCAGGAGATCTAATTTAACAAGTGTTAATATTAAAGGACTTAAAGCACATTTATACAAAAAAAAAAAACAAACAAAAAAAAAACAAACTTACTCTGAACCTGCAGCCATTTCTAAATATGGAGTTTCTGTTGTTTTAACCCGCAAAGGGACCACAATGCTCATGACGTTCGCTTCTGATAAATTCGATTACTATGGAGTCCTCTGCATCGGGATCCAAAACACTGGGGCATGCCAGCCACAGTGCTCATTGCAAACATCTAAGTGCATCCACAAACCCTAATACAAAGCAGAAACATACAAGATTTAGTTAGCTGGAGATATAAAAAGTTATACATTTTATTGTAGTACAAAAAAAGTTTTACTGTGCAATGAACATAGATCATCAAGCATACAAGAGCATCACATTTTAACATTTATCACTGTACTACCCATGGTTAAGGGGGGGGGGGGTGGTGGCGGAGTCCAGCCAATCATAGACTGTTCCAACCTTGGCTGGTTCAGCAGGGACTTGTCAGGATTTGAACCATATATGGGCAGACTGAATGTACCCAAGTTGATCCATCGATGAACTTGGGTACAACCAGCCTGTCAGGTTCTACGCGTGATTGTTGCTAGTGGTCATCACTATGTTCATTCACCTGGCAGGGGCTGCTCCCCCTGCCCCGAACCCCCCCCGCGAGAACACAACAGTGCTGTGGGAGGGATTCCCCTGTCCCTCTCCCTCCTCAAATCAACAAAAATGATGGCTCCCACTGCTATCAATCTTCCCTGTGAGGAAGAAGAAAGCCACTGCTCTCAGGCACAGAGCTGGATAGATAGGGCTCAGTTAAGTATAAGGAGGTAGCTGGGGGGGTTCCTGCAGAGAAGGATTTTTACTTTAATGGAGAGAATACATTAGGGTAAAAATCCTTAAGCCTTTATAACGACTTTAATTATTGGTAAGCTGCAGTTGCAGTATATTAAAGTGGAAGAAAAGCCCATTACTAACTATTCCTAAAATGTTCCTTCCCCCATCATCCTACCGCTCCTGCATACCGTGTACTTTTTTTTTACTATGCTCCGGTCACATCATCCTATAGCTCTGGGCTCCGCTGTCAGTGAACAGACTGCAGCAGAGGAGAGAAGGGAGTGGTAACAATGGCTGGACCATGGGTGACATCACGGCTCTCGGAATTCACCATCATTGTCGAGCACTAACTTACACAGGGGAGCCAGAGCTGCAGGGTCACGTTACCAAACCAGGATATGCAGAATAGGTAGGATGAGGAGGGAAGGAACATTTTAAGAATAGTTAGTGTTAGGCTTTTTTTCAACTATACATTTTTCCTTTTGGGCTTAATACTGCTTTAACCACTTGCCATCCTGAGGATTTACCCCCCTAATGACCAGGCCTCTTTGTGCTATTCGGCACTGCACTAATTCAACTGATAATTGCGCGGTCAAGCAATGTTGTACCCAAACTAAATTTACGTGTTTTTTTTTTTTTACACAAATAGAGCTTTCTTTTGGTGGTATGTGATCACCTGTGCGCTTTGTATTTTTCAAATTATAAACAAAAAAGACCAAAAATTTTGAAGAAAAACTAGATTTTTTATTTTTGGTTATAAAAAAAAATATATCGTAAACGCAAAAGCTAGTCATAAATTTAGGCAAAATGTATTCTGCTACGTTTTTGGTACATAAAAAAAAAAAAATCCCAATAAGTGTATATTGATTGCTTTGAGTGAAAGTTATAGTGTCCAAACTATGGTATAGATAATGGAATTCACACAACTTATACTTTCTGACTGCCCATCACATTTCTTGAGGTGCTAAAATACCAGGACAGTACTACTATCCCCCCCCCCCCCCCCCCCCCCCCCCCCCCCCATTGACCCCTTTTCGGAAAGAAGACACCCTAAGATATCTGCTGAGAGGCATATTGAATCCATGGAAGATTTATTTTTTTCCCCATGTTTTTGGAAAATGAATTTTTTTTTTTTTTTTTTTTTTTTTACACAAAGTTGTCATTTAAATTATACATTTCTCACACAAGCCATGGGTATATGTGGAATTACACCCCAAAATACATTCTGCTACTTCTAACGTGTGGGGACACCACGTGAGACTTTTGGGGAGCCTAGCCACATACAGGAGCCTGAAATCCAATGACCACTTAGAAAGCCTGAAGGTGCGTAACTTCCTCATTTCACTTTCTCACTACCTATCACAGTTTCGGAGGCCCTAAATACCATGATAGCACCAAACCCCCCAAATGATCCCTTTTTGGAAAGTAGACACCCCAAGGAATTTAAAAAAAAAAAAGAGGCATGGTGAGTATTTTGCATATCTCATTTTTTCTCACAAGGTTTTGAAAATATATATGTTTGTTTTCTTTCTTCATTTTCCAAACATTTGTGGTAACAAACAAGATTTGCAAAATACTCACCATGCTTATCAAATTCTTTGGGGTGTCTACTTTCCAAAAAGGGGTCATTTGGTGCTGTCCTGGCATTTCAGGGCTTCCGAAACTGAGATAGGTAGTCAGGAAGTGTAATGAGGAAAAAAAGCCCTTTAAAAGTCTGATGGTGCTTATTGGATTTTGGGGTCCTGGTACTTGGCTAGACTGCCAAAAAGTATCTGAAGTATACCATGTGGTACCCCCATACTCGGGAGAAGTAGCAGAATGTATTTTGGGGAGCAATTCCACATATACCCATGGCACGTGTGAACAATAAATCATTTAAGTTGCAGTTTTGTGTAAAAAAATAAAAATAAATTATTTTTTTTGTCATTTTCTAAAAACCTTTGGTAAAAAACAATTCTTTTATTGACTCAGCATGTCTTTGAGCAAATAGTTTGGGGTGTCTACTTTCCAAAAAGGGGTCGTTTTGGGGGGTGGGGGCGTTTTATGCCCAGCATTAGAAGTTTATGCCACACATCACTCACTCTTCCAACCACCTGCAGACCAAGCCTTATCTGACACTTTTTGCTCACATGAAAAAAAAAAAAAAAACACAGTATTTTTTTTTACTCGGAAATTACTTTGACTTTTTTTAAAGCAGACACCCTAGTGAATAAAATGGTGGGTGCTGCAATTTTTTATGTCACATAGTACTCGCGCAGTGATCTTTCAAACACAATTTTTAAAAAAAAACTTTTTTTTTTTTACTTTTAATGCACAAAAACACAATATATTGGCTAATTATTTGGTAAAATATAAAAATAGGATGGTATGCCGAGTAAATAGATACCAAACATTACATGCATTAAAACTGCGCATGCCCCATGCAATGGCGACAAACTGCATACATTTTTTATATCCATGGGCAACAATTTAAAAGTCTTTACGAGCTACCATTTTAGATTTACAGAGGAGGTCTAGTGCTAGAATTACTGCCCTTGATCTGACGTTCGCGGTGATGCCTCACGTGCATGGTGCACCCGCAGTTTACATACCGGCACAGGGTCACGGGGGATGGGTTTTTGCGAAGTTTTTTTTTTTTTTTTTTTTTTTTTTTAAAGGCCAATTTTCAGCTTTTAGCGCTGTCGCACTTTGAATGACAATTGTGCGGTCATGCAAAACTGTATCCATATGAAATTTTTATAGGTGGTATTTAATCACCGCTGAGTGTTTTTTATTTTTTGCTAGGGGGGGGGATATAAGTTAGAGGTTAGGGGAAGAAAAGGGGATGGAGTGGTTACGGTGGGAGCGAAATAAAAACAAAAAAAACCTGAAACTAAAAAAAAAAAAAAAAAAAAAAAAAAACACACACAACACGCACTTTTCTTTGTTTCTGTTATAAAATTTTGCAAATAAATAACATTTCTTCATAAATTTACATCAAAATGTATTCTGCTACATTCCTTTGGTGAAAATAATTGAATTTGTATTTTTTTTTCAAATGTTTCGATTCTTTATTAAATTTTTTCTTTCTTTTTTACCATTTTATTTTTCAGCACACTGTGACCAAAGTAATACAATGTTACCATAACATTGAACAACTCTGGGCAAGTGATCAGGATTTTTTTTTTTTTTTTTAATACATTATGATTGCCAATACCAATGTATTTCATTGAAATTTGCAACCACTGTTACTTGATGAAACTGATTGTCTTTTGTCCTTCGGGACTAATGGGGCAACATATCAGATATACTGTATATGTGAGGGCTACCCTCACCACATATATGTATGAACAATAAATGCGGTTATATAAATCGTATGTGTGAAAAGGGAAAAAATATTTGTAATGAAGAAATATATATTTCCCATTCTGACATCAGGTAATAAATGTCGGTAAGTCCTAATTATAAAATAGTAATATATGAGTCAAATTATGATGATGTAGGTACAGGGAACAGTAATAGACATCCCAGACCATTACCCTTTTATCCACAATATAAAAACCATGTTGCCCCATTAGTCCCAAAGGGAAGACTACTACCGATAGTACGGGCATTAATTTATCATCTTGTCTGAGTGGTTATCCTTCAGGTTTACATCAGAGTGTACGTTTCTGCTTGTATACCGCCAACAATATGGCGCTGAGATGCGCGCGCACATGCCGAGGATAGGGGAAATAACTTTGGTTCCTGTGATCTACGGCAAAATGGCGCCGATGCACTGCGTATGCGCCGATAGTCGGCAAAATGGCGGGCGCGATAAGCGCAAGTGCCATTCCTCATTATAAATAGACAGAGCCAGACGTCTCCTGCTGTAAGCCCTGTTACCCTACGACTACGTGTATCGCATGAAACGCGTTAGAGAGGCTACAGCAACTGGACGTCTAGCCACCGCTGGTGGCCATCCTGATTTCCATATATATGGTCAGTGTTTTTAAACTTTGTAATTTTGGTTGTGCACTTTCTTTGATGGAATAAAGTTCCCTACAGTATCACGCTATGTGGTCTCCTTTATTGGTCCTTCTTTATGAGGACCATCCACAGAGGCTGCACTAAGGGTGACCCCTAATGGTGATACGCATCAAGGACCCCTGAATATTCCATGCAGATGTGACTGGGAAGTGTACTCTATCCTGACATGTTCTGGGAGGCGGATGACCATAGTTACACCTGTTGAGATAGGTTATATCTCTAATGCGTGTTTACACGCACTTCTGGTAAGTGCGCAATTCATTCATTTTGGATCATTTACCACCTGGACTAACTCCACGCAAGCATA